TCTTTCTGGTTGTTATTTGGAGGCTGAGATCAGTATTCCTACCATGGATAATCTCAATTTCCAAACCTTTGGTTGCAAACTTTGCAAGCTGCCTAGTGGGGGATCATACGTGTGGCGTTTCAAAAAGGAACCAAAAGTTCCTACCTCTCTTCAGGTGGTGTTACAAGCTAGGAAATGAGAAAAAGTCCTTGCTGAGCATGGCCTTTTCTCGTGAGACTGGTGTCTGCTGAATCGTTATGGGCAATGCACGACCTGTATGCAGTACAGGTGAAGAGATCTGTCCTTAATGCTAATTGTAGAAGTAGGAGATACACTTGCTCTTCAGGGAAGTGATTTGCTCCGACTCACTCACAAATAAAATTATATGAACTTGATATTCCTGAGGGCCATAGTTCTCTTTCAAGATGGTAAAAGGAAGAGGAAGATGTTATTCCGAGACTGCCTAAAGGGGCTTCTTTGGACGTGTAACAGACTGCTCTGTTCTCATGGGATTTTAATGGAGTAATGCTTGGTTCAGCACTTATCTTAGCACTTACCAATTCAAAAATGCTATAAATGCAGCCTAACACACAAAGCTCACCCATATCTCCAAGCTGTAACAAACTTCCTAGGCAGTGCCCAGAATTACTGATTTTCTTTCATCTACTGTCAAGAGCTGTGTAAATTCTTCCTTTTACTGCAACTGAAGCTAAAATATAAGTCTACATTTCTTTTCAGAGTTTACAAATCTTCCTTATTTTTAAAAATTATACAGCAGCTCATAAAATAATGTATGACAAAGAAAAATGAAAGGCTTTTTTTTTCTCTCTCTCTCTTTTGCTTGTTTATTTGTTTGTTAAGAAATAAGGAAAGACAGACCATTTTGATGTGATTTGCACTCTTTTTTACAAGAATCCTTTAAGTAGTTTGTCTTTTGGGACAACAACAAAAAAATCTAATGTGAATAACTGAAGTAAACAGCTGCCCACTTCTCTTCCAAAGTCACCAAAGAAAAGCTTAAAAACTGCTCGTTTGCTACAGCTAAATGAGTAGTTGTCAAGTGTCTTGTATTATTTTTATTTGTTTTTCTCTCCTACAAACACAGTGTCTCTCTGAAGCAGGCATAGTAGTAATTCCCTGTTTGACTTTAAAGCTGCGCTCATCCTTCCAAGCGCTCGCCCTTGTGATCTCCATTTCTCCTGCTCGGGCTGTTCTCACAGGCTCCTACAGTGGGTATTTCAGCTCATTTGCAGATTGGGAGAAGAAACAAACCCATTAGTCACTAGCAGCAGGGRTATGTCGCAGCTCGCACAGCCCCTTTCATCGTCTTTCTGTCTCCAGTAGCTCAACCAGATTCTCCTTTCTAATATTTTCCAAAGCAAAATGGGCATTTTGAGCAGGGGGGAAGGGATAGATTGTTCTTTTTTACCTGAAATCCTCATTACACGTGCTTTCTAGATGAGACATGAGCATAATCTCAGCGCAGTCTTTCTGCATTAAGTAGTATCACACAAATGAAAATAAACCATCAGAGATGACATTTTGAGTGTCTTTGCAATGCTAATGGCAGTCAGGTGGCAGTTCTTAACCTAGAAACAGAGGAGACCGAGGACTTCTTCCCGCTAAAGAGCAATGCAGAAGGAGTTTCTGATTCTTCTCRAGGCTCCATGACTCACATTAAGCACCTGCTGATTGTCTTGTTGTACTTGTTAAAGTGAAATCCCTGCTAGCGACTCTCTCYAGCTGAGTTAATAATTAGCTTGGGAAGTCATGAGCTTTTGTTAATGAGACTCAATATTGTACTTCTAATTCAGGAAAGTGGTTCACACAATTGCATTTGTACTCTGACAAAATTCAACAGCTAATCCTTCTTCAGTTAAGTGTCATAGTCCAATCCATAGGAGTGACTGGGGCAAGATAAAAGTATTTATATCTCCAGGGCTGAGGCTTTCTGGACAGCCAGTATGTGTTAGCTGATATTTTGGCAGGAGAGATGCCTCTGTACCTTCTCCATGGTTAGAAAAAGAAGATTCTACATTTACCATTCCTACTTCTTTATATTAGCAGCTGATGTTGATCTTCATTCATTCTATCTCTATGWGAGGAAGAACTTCCTTCCTGTGAGGGTGCCAGAGCCCTGGAACAGGCTGCCCAGGGAGGTTGTGGAGTCTCCTTCTCTGGAGATCTTCCAAACCCGCCTGGCTGCCACCCTGTGCCCCGTGCTCTGGGTGTCCCTGCTKGAGCAGGGGGTTGGACTAGATGGTCTCTAGAGGTCCCTTCCAATCTCAGCCATCCCGTGCTTCTGTGTTTCTGTGATCTTAGTTTTCACAGTGAAGGTCCGCTGCTATGAAATTGTAATTGACCTGTGAACTTGAACATAAATATGAATTTGAAAAAAAAAATCTCTCAGTCCTGATTTCCTGCAAAGACATTTCATCTAATGATAAGGTCTACAGAGCAACCCAACTTGAATGGATCATGGAAGAGATGGGAATTACCATAGCTGGATTTTAAAAGTTCTGTCATTACACAGAAATTGCTGGGCCCGCAAGAAGGAGAAAGCTTTGTGTATGTGTGTGTGTGTTTTTCTCCAAAAATGTATATCTAATGWGTTGCGTAATTATGCAAAATTGATTCAAAATATTTTGTTTTAAAAGTTATTGTAAGTTGGAGGGAATTTCAGGCTATCTTGCCCATGCTGTTCCAGACAGCTAAAGGGAGCATTGTAAGAAGGCATGTGTGATTATTGTTACTCCAGCAAAGAAATTTCCAGATAACCAATACTGGCCACTGTATTGGCTACTATGATTTAATAAAGTCATAAATATTAAAATACAAAAATATGGACGGAAATGATACCTGGAGTACAGTACTTCCCCTCCAGGGGCGTAAAGTTTTAGGCTGCATGGGACTGGCTGACATGGGGACTTTCGTGTCCTCTCAGCTGATGAGTTGATGGCTCTTGCTACAACCATCACTGTTTCCCATTATCTGTTGGAAAAAAGCTGTCTGTTCAACYTTCCTGTTAATGCTTCCTGCAAATTTGGGCTCGCACAGATAAACAAGTATGTACCCGTGTTTGCCCCCGCAACAGCACCTCGCTCACGAGTTCCCCACGAGCCAAAGGGAACACGGGGCTGTGCGTTGGGAAGGGAGGAGGCTGCCGGCCTCCGTAAGCAGCCTCAGGCTTCCTGTCAGTCACTTGGCTATTTATATCCCTTTTTTTGTTTTCAGATAATTTATTATTATTGCTATTATTTGTGGGATTTTTCTTCACTTTTTCTTTTTTTTTATTTTTTGATAGATCATTGCTAAAAGCTTGGGAAGTGTCTTTTTTAGCAGTTGAGTCATACTATATTTATCAGATACCAGTTTTCTCTCTCTGCATCAGTATTAACTCCTCCAAAAAAAGTTCTGCTGGTATTTTGGACCATCATTTAAGAGTTTGGTTTCTGTGCACTACCAACTTTCAAAACTTCCTGGATTATTTTAACTGCAGTGTCAGGAGAAGTGCTATAAGTGATTTTATCCTGTGCCCTTGTTGAAGACTCGGCCAATTTGGCAGTGACAGGACAAGAAAAGAGGTGCCCGTGCCCCATCACGAGGTGCGACCCCGATGGGGACACACGGGCAACCAGTTGACACTTTCAGGATGGAGAGGCCCTAAGCAGATCATGGGCAGAAGAGCTCTCTGCTTGAGTTACAGGCTGATTTGGGGAATATTACACTGTGTGTATAGCAGGTTTAAATGGTGTAAGGCTCTAAGGCTGTCAGTCCTGCCCTTCCCACTGTAGCCATTTTTTTGGTTAGGAACAGGAAAGGGAAATTATTCTCTTAAAAAATGTTTCTTTGTCTGTTTTATGCAGATCTCAAGGTTACCCTAAGTGTAGGTTCTTATTGCAGGGAGGGCACAGTGGTAAGGGACAGGGATCCCAGGAAATTTTAGATTTTCCTGGGATTGTACCTCAGGATTGGAAGCTTTGTACAGAAACATAGGAACAGTTCAGGGTAAATAAAGCATTGGGCAATTAACTAGCAAAGCAATCAATGTGTAATGGCCAGCACGGGCCAGGCAAGTGTATGTGGTGTCTTGGCTCACCATCATCTAAAATTGCTATTGGGGGAGTTGGAGTGTTAGCTGAAAGTGAAATTGGAGCTTCTTTCCTGCAAACAGAAGTAATTTGCTGCCCTATTTCTCTTTGTTTAAAAAATACTATGGGGAGATTGAATGAGAAGCTTGAAACATATTGACTGTGATTTGGAAGGCATATTTTTGAATCTCTAGAGTGCTTGTTGATCTTGGATCATCTCATTTCCGCACTGCTTCAAAATGAAAATTAGCAGTAATTCTGTTTAAGTTTCAGCTAAATTAGTAATAAACTTTTGTCTCTATGGTTTTATTTGTTATATATTTCTATCAGTCCAACGTGCTCTTTAAACACTGCAGCAGAAATTTTTACTGCTTACCTCCCTGGACCCCTTGCAACTGTACAAAGCAGGTTTGGGATTAATAAGCTGTCRAAGTCTGAGTAATGAATAAAAAATAATGACAGAAATCCTTTCATTGTTTGAGAAATTCCAAGTAGTTAATGGAAAAAAATGGCATTCTTTCACAATTTAAGAAAAAAGCAATTCTTTCAGAAACAGCGCATGACTGAAGAAACTTTCAAAAAAACAAGGATTCTGCCCAATGGGTTAATTCCAGTTCATTCCTTTGAATTAATATGTTACAAAACCATATGAGCTAATGGGATTTTATACTTTGAGAAATAGGTTTCTGTTCCACAGGTTACAGGTTCAAAGTTCATCCTGAAAGTAATAAGTCTTCCTGATTTCRTAATTTGCTGTTGTGAGCATTTAGGTTATGTCATGCTTATAAGTACTATACCTTAAGTAGAAAACTTTGTAATGCACAGATCAGGTTTGGGGAGGGAAGGGTGTTTCCTTACATGTTRTTCTGCTGACTTAGGAAATTCCATTTGTCTGTATGCAATAATTCCTCTCTTGCTGTTGGTTTTCAGGTAACCGTCTCGGATGGGGGCACATCTCCCAAGCAGTCCTCAGTCTGGGTGGTGGTCCAGGTTCTGGATGAGAATGACAACAAGCCTCAGTTTCCAGAGAAGGTCTATCAGATCAAGCTGCCAGAGAGAGATCGTAAGAAGCGAGGGGAGCCTATCTACAGGGCCTTTGCTTTCGACAAAGACGAAGGCCCTAATGCGGAAATCTCATACAGCATCGTGGATGGGAATGATGATGGGAAGTTCTTTATTGATCCCAAAACTGGGATGGTTTCTTCCAGAAAACAATTTACGGCAGGGAGTTATGATATCTTAACAGTAAGTGCTCTTTCATCAACATACTAACACATTATTTGAGTATTGTTTTTTTATAAAAGACTTACCTCGCTTTATGGTGATATATCTCTGTGTTTAATATATCACTGCCTGTAAGATGTGAATGTGCTAAGAAATTTAGCATTCGCAGATAACTATAGCTAAAAATTGATTCTGCTAGGGATTTCATGCCACTGCACATAATGAATTATCCTCAGGCTGTTTAGAGAGCCAACTTGTGAATTGTTGGCATCTCCTTGTATGCACAAAAATGAAGACCAAGAGTTTGCTTGCTCACAAATTGTGTATCATATTTAACAAGTACAGAAACAAAAGGACATTGACCTTTTTGTGGATATGTGTGGATATAGTCCACACTTACTCTGTCCAAGTTAATGGTCTTCAGAGAGGAGGCGTTCTATATGGTGAATATATGGCCTTCTACTGCATTAAAGGGTTTAAGTATTACAATGATTTCAGTTTAAAAAAAAATCAAAATACTGCCAGAACTCAATCCATACAGACGACGTTAAAGAAGGAAAAGAGAAAAGACGGTGGTTTTGACAAGAGAAAATATTGGACTTGAATTTGCACTCTTCATATATAGCAGTAAGCCAAAAAATGTGTTGGTTAGGGAGTTGATGAGAAGTATAGGAGATGAAAATCTAACAGAGTTCCAGGGTGTGGAACATTCACTTAGTGAATGAAGAGATGTCATCTGCAGAAATGGATCTCTGCTGGGATACCTTCATAAAGCTGAAAATGGGGATGGGAAAACAAATGTCAAAATACAGAGASGGAGCTTGCACTTGGAGCACACACCTCTCAGGGTGAGTGCCKTTCACTATGCAGAACTGCAGCTTGCTCCTGGGATCTGCCCCTTAGGATATTCCAACAGCTGAAAGTTTTCTAGCTTGAAGCTGCTCATCACAAACTCAGCATCTTTTGCCTAAGGGCCTGTCTGCCTTGAATGGAGGAGGGTAGCAAGTGTTAGCACCAAACCCACTTAACACATTTCCAGAGAAATAAATATATATGATATTTCAGGAAAATAATTCCCTTTTTTAACAGGCATAGTAACAGCATTTCCATACACAAGTGATCCTGTATAGTCAGGGACATTTCCTTTAGTATTTAAAGGAAAATCTTCCGTAGTTTGTGTTATTCACCAGTGCACCATTCTGTAACCTACATTTTTCCTTATCCTCAGTTATTTTTCACTTTTCATCTTGTCTTTTCTATGCTAAAACCTTAAAGCATTCCAGGCAAATATAAAATCTGTCCATGTCTTCACAGTACTTTGCAATTTAAAGAATTGGCACCAAGCTGGACACCTCTAATGAACACCACTGAGAAGAGAAAACAATGAAAATAAATGTGGTGAAATTGAAAATTATATTTATTTTGAAAAATGAGGGAAATAATCTGAAACTTATTCAACCCAATTAAAGATTGTGAAGATAGTAATATGAGGAATACCAATGCAACTGGTATTCTGCAATACAAATACCATTTAAAAACAGTCAAACGTGGTCTGGGTGAGCATATATCTTGACATCCAGATGTCAAGACATCTTGACATGACATCCAGATGTAGCGGGTGTAGAGTATCATAGAGTTCCCACCCTTTTCGCATAGGAGACTCTTTGAAAGGTGTAATCTAAGAGGGAAGTCTTTTCTGAAGAAGTAAGATTATGTACGAAGTACTTGAATTGCATCTCCCAGGGCCTCACATCAGCATTTCTAAATCAAAATAGTTCTGTCTGGTGTCTTTTCGATGAAGAATCAAAGTATAATGCAACAAAAAAAAAAAAAAGAAGAGAGAAGTAAGTGTTTCTCGTCCTACTTTTTAGAGCATATTTTGCATAAAGGATTAAAGAGGCCATTTTCCAAGCATTTTCCATATTTTCTCTTTTCTTGAGAAATAGGTCTAAATGACAAACTCTTGTGCGCAGTCTGAGTCCTGTTTTCTTTGTACCCCCCAGATAAAAGCAGTAGACAACGGCCGACCTCAGAAGTCCTCGACTGCACGTCTCCATATCGAGTGGATCAAAAAGCCTGCGCCCTCGCCAGTGCCCCTCACTTTCGATGAACCCTTTTACAACTTCACCGTCATGGAAAGTGATAAAGTGACAGAAATCGTTGGGGTGGTGTCTGTGCAACCTTCTAACATTCCCCTGTGGTTCGATATAGTCGGTAAGTTGGGAGCCAGGAACGTAGGGAAGAAGCTTTAGAAGCAAAACATGAGGATGTGTGGTTTTGAGAGCGAGAAAACTAACAGTCAGCTGGCCCTGAATTAAAAGCACTTTTGTAATGCTGAAAAGGCTATTTTAATGCAGCAATAATAAAAATAATATTCCTGCTTTTGTTATGATTCCTTAGCTAAGCTGAAAAAAAAAGCGCTGTATGGCTGAATTGTTTTTTTTCATAGTATGTTATTTACTGCAATTTTAATGTTGTCTGTCATTTAAATTCTATTGTCATACTTTGCTAATCTCATTCCTAAATGTATTTATGGTACTTAGACTTGCTGTCCCTCATTTCTCTCTTTCTTCACCTTTTTTTCTGCATTCTGTTCTTTTTTTTCTGCTTCCGACTGCCCTGCTTCAAGGTGGCAAGCATGCTCGAGAGATGTTCTATATTCTACAGACAGCTTGTGGGCAGAACTGTTCAACAGAAGGTACCCTTAGTGCAAACACATTTGCTAAAATACAACTATCCAGGCTGCCTTTTATTTTTGCAAGTTCTTTGAGACAATTTATATTACATCTTCATAAGTGCCTGTGACAGGATGCAATGCGACACATGGATGTGCTACGTTTCTTTCTATGACAGCTTTTAGCATATTTGTGTCCAATTATTATCATTTTATTCACGGATTTTCCACAGTTTATCGCAAATAATTAATTCAAACTTTTCACAGTCCAGCACCATCCATTTAAATGTGAAACAGAATGGAATGCATCAACATATGGGTTACAAATGGAGCCACAAAAGTTCATCTTGAATGCAAACTGAAAAAGAGAAATGTGTTCTGATGTGAGATTTCAACCACAAAATTGGCTTACATATAATTACTTTGGAATATAGGGAGGGAGAAGTCCGTATACTTAGAAGGGGAGAAGTCATAGGGGTTGCAGTGTTAAAGTCATAGGGCAAGGAAGTGAGGGATGTAGCTGCTGGAAGGACAGCAAGTAGAAGGAATCACTTGCCTGCAGAGAAACAGGAATCGGTATTCCTAAGTGGTGCTTTCCTGCTTCTGTGGCTGATGCAGTTAGATCATTTAAAATAACTCTTTAACATCTCCAAAATGAGATTTTCCCCAACATTACAATGACTCTGCAAAGTTATTGTGCTGCTTGGTATTTGTAGGTACTTGCACGCAATGTTTGTATATCTTCAGATGTAAAACATTGTGTCTGCACAAAGTGGTGTTATTTAAATAATGGGTTATAAAGCAAATACTGTATGAAAGATTAAAGAAGCAAAAAGCCATCGCCACAGACTTAGTGAAAATGATGCATCAGCAGTCTGTATTTACAGAGACGGAGCTCTGCTTCCATTTCATCATAGCTATTTCCAGATGAGTTTAGCCAACAGGAAGGAGAAGGACCACAGAGTGGGTCAGCCATGGTTATTTTCATCCACCTTTTATTGTCAGTTTGTGCAGATGAAAGACAGAAGCATCTGTATTTKCTCTTTGAATTTGTAGCACGGTTTCTGAAATGCCAACCGCATTAAAACTAAACCCAAAGCTATCACCATGTTCAGGGGTTCGTGCTCACCCCTGGGGAAGAACAGCAGATGTTTCCTACTGTCTTCTTTTCCATTCCCATGATCGTTTCAGTATGCTACATGCAATTTATTAGCTAATGTTTACATTCTCTATGTCTTGCTGACTGACCTTAGCTTTTCTCCCAGGAGAAATCCTACCTTATTGATTTTATTGTCACATTCTTTCCCTTTTGAAAACTTTTGCTGGACTCTTCTGCCCCTCACAACCTCTCAGTGTATTCCTTAGTGAATACACCAACTCTCATTAAAATGTTGTGTGATAACAACTGAGAGAAGGCCCCAGCTCTTAGGCTGTGTTCTTTAACAATGTAAGAATCATCTGCAGTCTAGCAACACCTTATCATAATATTCCATTTTTGCATCCYGAACAGAGATGCTGGAGAGAAGATGATGAAGTTTAAGTCTTCARTTTGTCACTTCCTGTGGTCTTTATGGCTTCTAGACCTAGTTAGGGTCTAGAAGGGTTTTTACTTTTTAGAAATCCTATAAACTTCCCTATAGGATGTAGCTGCTGATGCTGCAGGGTGCTGAATCACTGCAGAAGGTCGTGGACATATTGCTTCCCTAGAATTAATGAGAAATCTGGGTCCCTGGAAGGTCTCGGAACATTGTAGGTTCATGGATGCTGACCCTGACTATCCAATTTGGTACCATTACCATATGAATGCTGTCATTAAATATAACTGCTTTTATTAAAAAACAGCAATAATAAAGAATACTTATTTCTGCAACAGGAATAGCCGGCAATCCCAGCCATGCACACAGTGTTGCTGTTCTAGGCACTCTGCACACATAATTGAAAGATAAAATTGACAGAAGCAGCTTATAGTGAGAGTATTTTCTGCTTAAAATATCTTTGCTGCCTTTAGTCAGTCAGTATCAAAAATACTTTTTTGTCCTGGTTCCTGGATATCATCATCTGGAAAGAGAAGCAATGATGATAATGTGTTGGAGGAACATTGATATTTAGTGCTAAAAAGTCCAATGAGAGACTTAAGATATTAGTAGAAACTGTAGTTGTTGGAGTTGTTGGAGTTGTAGTAGAAATTGTAGTACATGGAAGTGTAGAACATGGGAGTGTTGATGCAAGAGACGCATTCTGTCTTGCTGTAAGAGCTGGTCCTGCTCCATCTGCTGTTCTGTGGTTCTGAACCTCCATGTATGGCTCCCAGGAATGTCAACAAAATCCCTGAAGGCTTCTGTAGAGGCAGGGTTTAATACGGAGTTTGCAGATTGACCTTTACCTTTACGACCTTTTCAAACTAAATGGGCAATGGAATTCAAAGGGACCCTTTCTTCTATAATATGCCCTTTCTCCCACCTAAAAATGGGTAGAAGACGGACTAAAGTCAGGATATATAGGATTTTGTCTATCTAATTTCARCATCTAATTTGCAACTAGGTTAAATGCACCCTAGTGAAAGGTTTATATTCTTGAGCTAATCAGCTCCAGGAGAGGAAGGTGCCTTGTGGCCAGAGATCAGGTCTTCCCGGGCCAATTGCCTTCATTTAAAGACATCTTTCCTCCATAGACAGAGAGGGACAGGATATTTGCTTTTTTTGTGCAATTGGGAATGGTTGAGATGTCATATCTGATTTCTCTTTTCAGAATGCATTCAACGTCCTCCTCAGTTCATGCAGATCTCACAATGTGAAAGACATGAACAGAGGTTGTTTCAATTCTGTTAAATTTATTCAATCATTTATGAGGAACTAGTTTTCAATGGAAGCTCCAAAATAAGTCAGAGATCTTTATTTCTCCCAGGGAAATTGAGCCCTATGTGACTCTTTCTTCCTTTGTTTTAGGGGTGGGAATGATGAGGTRCATCATTATGTTGACCACAGAAGCTAAGCTGCATGGTGCTAGTGTTTGCTTAAGTAGCATGTTGCACAACACCTCTCATTCTCCAAACTGGCTACCTGCTGTCTTTATTTCTTCCTCTAACCTACACCTTTAAAAGCACAGCTAAACTTTAAAAGTACACTAGAAACTTTTCTATCAAGGGTGGTTTAAGTGACAATGATTTTAAGATCTATTAATTCTAATTAATTGTCCATATAATTCACAGTAYTGCCAATTTTCATTTATGTTGAAAACATGTAGCTCCCTAGCCTCTTTTGAAATATCCTCTCTGAGAACTAGATAAAATAGCTTTTTTTTTTTTTTTTTTTTGCCAATACCTTCAGCTTCTTAGCAGCAAATCCAAGGCTTTGACTGTCCTTTTAAGAGTTTTATCCTTTTGCAAATTCAAAKTCTGTAGTATTCTTCCTAGCATGATAACAGAATATATCTTTGCATGTTGTTACTAATATTTATTATGTTATGTCTAATAGAATYCTGAAATTTAATCTGTATTTCTAGAGACAGTGTCTAGGTTTATTTCAAATCTTACAAAACAGAACAATGGGAGATTTGGGGTTTGCTTCTTTTCCTAAAAATACTAGAGGCATTTTAGATTCATCCTTGAAGCTCAGGGTCAGTTCTCTTTATGTATTTCCACATTATCCTCTGCTTTGAGCAATGCTAGCAATGCAGCAATTGGTCCAGTTATTGTCGTTATCTTCAGTTTTGTTAGTTTAGTTTGAGAGGGAAAAAAAAAGTCAAAATTCCTCCATTCCTAAGCAAATGTATTCAGTACTAGTCTTTAAATTAAATCATCTACTGCTTTTCTCTACTCCTCCGTCTTGGCACAGCAGTGCAAATGAGACGAGTTCTCACTGCATCCTGTCTTTCTTAAGTTTGAACATAAGCACATATGCTCTTTGCTATCTGCCAGTGAAGGAAGAGCTTTCCGAGGTTTTTGCCATGTTTGGTTTGGGGATATCCTCCAGAATTCAGTAGGATCTATTTTGGCATTTAAGACCCAACAAGTCTGGCCCTGCACGTCGTCAAACATTTCTCAGATCTATATTCAAGCCCACTTTTCTGGATCATTCCAGTGGAAAAGAGARGAAAAAGGTGCTCACACGGATAATTAGACTTATTTGCCTAGCAGTCCTCTAGGTTTGTTGGCATGTTTTCTTCTTAGGGAGCAAGTGATTTCATCCAGCAACATAATCCTGTCTTGAAATACATGAGAGCTGTTGATAGGAAACATAAAGAGGCTCAGGATCCTCTCRAAAAGGGATCTCACCTAAGAAGAGCGCCACAACAGGAAGAAAAAGAGGGTTTTTTTGCTTGCAACAAATACAAAATTCAAAATGGGAAGCGAACATGCTTGAAAATAAAAATTTTCCTAGAATTCAAAAGGATGACAGTTCTATCTGCATTGTATCCCGCTGTAGCCAAATTCTCCTATCGACATAGGAATCTCCTATGATGAGAATCTCCTATTCTCCTATCTGGAAATTACTTTTAGCAGTTCAGGAAGCTTTTCTTGGCTTATCCATTGCACCAAATATAATATAGGCTTACATAGAAAGCTCTAGAACATCGCTTGCATCTGTTCTGAAATAGACTAAGAGCACTAACCCTAAATCAGGAGCCTTTCTGAATTCAATAACATCACTGGAATTGGTCAGAGTTACGTTGGAGAGTATGCTGTAACTCCTTTAGAGAGTATAAAAAACGCGATCGTGGAAATTTACTTCTTCCGGGGTTTATGCAAGATATATAGCAGTCTCCAGAAACTAAGAGTGGAAATCATCTCACTTAACTTCAGATGTCCCAGGTGTAGTTATGAGTATCTAAGGTAGCTGTCTTTGGGAGTCCTAACTGTCAATTAAATTAAAAATGCACTTTCTGGTTGGCATTTATGTCATTCAAACATGAGATTTCTTCTTCTCCAAAGATGGCATTGCAAGTAGATTTGAATTTTTCATGAAAKCTCACTCTTATTATTTTGGCTTATTTTAAAGTCTATAGTCTTGACTGAGGATATACCAGCCTTGCCTCTCAACCTGCAATGATGCGACAGACAAGAGTYAATCCGCATTTCTCTTAAGTCATTCCATATTAGAAAGGTTTCTCAGGACAACCTGTCGAGCCAACTCACTTTGCTCAACGTGCCTTCTTTATCGCTGGTTTTCCCAGAGTCCTGTGTCACCATGTCTTATGTTCATATGAAATGTTTCTTTCCTAATGCAATTTCAAGCACATTAATAAATGAAGACAGCTTCTAGACATCTTGTATCTGAATGCAGGAATTTTACTAGGCAATAAAAAGGAAAGCACGTGCCATATGCTGGAAAATGGAAAAAGTAATAAAAAATCACATATAATAAAACTGAGCAGCTGGGAAAAAAGGTTGTCATTCTTAGCCCCCTTTCATCCTAAGATTATGATCAGCAGAAGTGCTAAATATCCGATAGTAACTCAGTGAAATGATATTACTGAAGCCTACRACGCTGCAAATAAATGAGTTTCAAAAAGATTTCAAGTTCCACAGCAGCATGTTTATGAAAACTGGCCTCAAGTACCCAAAAATCTGTGAAGTTGCCACCTCCCCAGCTCTCACCTCCTCCAGGCTCAGCCCTTAGTCCTCTACGTAGGCATCTTTTGGAAGGAAGCTGCTTCAAATGGTGTTCCCAGAAAAAAATCTAACTGCATGAGTTTCTAAAAGAAAATTTCTGTTTGTTTTTTTACTTAGCTTTATTCCGCCTTTCCCAGAAATTCTGTTGGATACTTCTCTGGGAGCTTTGTAATAGGCCATGCATATATTTAACACATCTATAAAGTTGATTACAATTTAGAGTTTATCCCTAATTCAGTAATTATGCTTCAGTGCTAAGTGTAATTTCAGAAGCGCTCATCATCTGAGTTGTTAGGAGGTTATAAAAAGGAGCTTTTTACGTCCAAACAACCTCCAGTACTCACAAGATGAGAAGAACCTAGATATCACAGGCAGGATGACAAGTTAGTCCCAGGAGCTGAACTGCTCGACTCCTTCCTCGTTGTCAGCAGCTGACTGTGGTCTGTTGAGATGACCAGACTGAATCATAAGTAAATGAAGACCATACTGCAGAAGAGAACATGAGCTCAAATCTCACAGCAAGATGCTCTCTGACAAGTCACGGTCTCTGAATTTGATGCAGTTTCTGCATTGTTCAGAAGAAAAAAAAATTGATGTGAAATAAAGTGCATTACAAATTTAGGATAGAGAGGGGTGGCTGGTGATSAAGATTTATTCTTTTTTGTCACTAGATTATCTTGGAAGATGTCTGTATCATATAAAAACTCAAACGTTGGGTTAAATTCCTGTTTCGAAGGAAGAATATCCAGCATTTCATGAAATTTCCCTCAAGTGGATATACTTGTGGTACACCATTTAATGGCCTAACAACACTGCACTAAGCCAATTGGGGAAAGACATTTAAAATATCTATCTTTAATTCTCCCATTATTTTACTTCTTGGAAGTTAAAAGACAGGCTTTCTGTGGAAGTGTATGCCACTTGATAGCATATAATTTTTTGATTGCTCATTAAGATGGCTATTAAGCATCTTGAAGTGCAGCCTTTCATTCTGTTTCTCATGGTTATCAGTCTGAAACATTCTCTTTGTACAGTGCACACTGTCCCAAGGCTAGCTGCATTTCAGCAGAGATTTTCTTCAGGAATTCTGAAACTCTTTTCTTCAAAGGAGGTTTTTTTCAGAGTTGGTTTTCATGGTGCAGCTTTTCCAGTAAAAAACATTAATTAGAACATTAGTTGGGAGATGGCATCTTTCTCTTCTTGACTAATTTAAAAAAAAAAAAATCAGAGCCTTTGACCAATGTCCATATACCTTGACAGTGCTTCAATGTCAAGGACAATTAAGAGTGGGTTTTTTTTTTTTTGTCAAACAAGTAGTGTTAAATATGTGAGACACTCATTTAAAACAGGGAGAATGATATGCAGGTTAGGTTTACAGAAAATGGTGCGGGAAGAATCAGTGTTTCCATCCACCATACATCACAGCAGATTCTAGGGCAGTGTTTTACTAGAGAAGTAAGGTTAGCTTCAGAGTCATATATACATATAGAGGATGGAAATCAGTTAGGTTCAGAGTTATATATACATATATATTTACTCAATGGAGAGGAGTCTGATGGACACAGTTCTTTTGGATCCCTTAACAAGCAGAGGGAGTTCACCAATTCTGCCATTCCTTTGCACAGATCACCTGGCTCCTTACTCCTCCTTCCCCTTTCTTCTCCTCCTCTCTCCAAGCTTAGGAATGACAAACCTTTTCTCTTCTGATTAAATGCATCGCTGCTTGCAAGAGAAATTCCCATTGTTGGTCAGCATCAAGGTACCAGAATTGGTGGTAGAAACTGGCCCCTTCATTTCTCTGCCCCCGTGCCTGAAGTGAGAGTYGTTTGGGGATAATACAGCAGCCATTCAGGAAAATTATTGCCCTAGAACTAAGTTGGTGGAATGGATATTTTTCTACCTGTGCATCTAATCCCCAAAGGTCTGAGCAGCTCCTATAAAAGTTTCATTAGCAGTGGGGGCTGAAAGCATTTTTCACTTTGCAGGACTGGGCCATTGGAGATTGTAGCCAGCGGAATTGTTTTGCTGTGTAATTAATACACCTTAAGAGATCTTTTGTCAGCAGTGCTGCGTTCCCCCCCTCCCTGTCCCCAGCGTCCAAACATTTCAGGCTGAACTCATAATAAATTCCACTTTAGAGTTGAGTGAGTAGAAGCAGCTTAGCAGCAGGGAGTGTGTGCTTTACTTCTGAACATAATGAGTGGTTTTAATTTATAAACTATAGCTGTGGCTGAGAAATCCTGTAACCCTTTAATCTCAAATTATTTATGACTTTCTCTTTTTAATAGATTTTTTTCCTTTTCCTTTTTCTTTTACCTGAGACCCAAGAGGATTTTTTTTTCTTTGCTGTATCATTCAGTATGTGACAGAAAAGGGAGGTATTAGTTTCAGAATAGTGCTTTGTGAGGGTTTTTTTTAATGGAAAGGAATTTATGATGTGTATCCTGTCAGATCTATTTAAATAATTCCTAAAAGACTAGTAGAATTTGACCTTTGCTGTCAGTAATTATCATTGTCCTTGAAATTAACATAACAAATCGCTATTTGCATTTTTTAAATTGATTATAATTGTCATTTTTAAAGACTCAGTTGACAGGCTTTGCACCCATGAGCATTGGTGAGGATTTCCTGAAAATAGAATTTGCAGAATCAAACCATCTTGAAATGATTTTTATGCAAAGAGATAAYTGTGCTTGTTCGTTACACAAACTACAAGGGCACACATCTTAAGGGCTTATAGTCATTTGATTCTTTTTATAGACTCAGTTATGGTTCACTTCTTAATATACTGCTGGATTTTTYTTTCAGTGCATTTTAATGATATCTGCTTTCCAATACACAAACTGTGCTTTGAAATACGAGTTGCCARCAAAGACGTATCAGTAGCTATACTGTGTATGCATAAGGCAGGCCATTAAGATGAATGCCAGTAAACAGCTATGCCCACTTTTAGATACATTTCGGATGGAAATTTTCCAGAGATGGCTAATTTAATTGTATTTTTGTGCAACAATTAGGAGGGAATTACGATAGTTCTTTCGACGCGGAGAAGGGAGTGGGCACTATTGTCATTGCAAAGCCCTTGGATGCAGAGCAGAGGTCAATATATAATATGACTGTGGAGGTCACCGATGGAACAAACATTGCCACGACTCAGGTAGAACATCACATTCCTTCTTTGGCAAGTTTTTCATTTGTTAGTGGAATGTATATGCTATAGAAATAATAATTTTGCCATTGAAATCAAACCTTGTCCTTTGAGACCGCTGTTAACTGGTACAGGGGCTGTTTTGYAGCCCTTTCCATCTGTTTGTAAAGAACTGGCTGTTGAATGTTTCAGAGTGCGATTTCTCCTTTTGTCCTCTTCTTGCTCACACCAAAGTAGTTCTYCTCCGTCCAGCTGAGCCAGGCCGTACCACGGGCCGCTAAGCTTATGTTTTGACAATCGTATCGCCAGTATAACGGTCCAAAATACAATAGCGATTCTGTGGTGTTGGAGAATATTATTATTGATTTTATTAAATGGAATTTATACTGCCCATCCTCCCCGGGCCCAAACGTGGAACACGATTGTWCAGAGAGGAAATTGTTCAGAGCGGAAACTTAAGATTCCAAGGATGTCTCCTTCATGTCACTGCGCGTGGCTACCCTGTCTGTTGGGGACACCAGCGAMGCCCGGCAACACAGGCAGGGTCAGTGACTCTGAGCAATTAAAAAGTCAGGTCAAATAAACGTGACGTGCAGGACAGCGCCAGCTGTGGCACTTCCTGGTCGGAGAGCTCCCCACAGAGAGCTTTGCCTTGTGTTGGTCACCTCCACGGGAGGTGGTTGGCAAAAACTGCTTGTTTTGCCCCAGTCTGCAGTTGGGACSTACGCAGGGTAAGTGCCCAGGGCCTCAGCGGGCCACGTGGCGCTGGGGAGACTCCAAGGGGCTAAGTCCTCAACACAAGGTGTTGAGTTGTGAGGTCTGGATTAGCTAGGGCCRGAACTGCTGCAGCCTGAGTGAAACTTGACGTGTAAGGGAAAATGCTCTCCACTTCCAAAAGCCTCTGTGCAGCCTCAAATTGCTGATTAAATCCAACCTATAGAGGAAATCAAAAAAAAAAAGGGGGGGGGAGGGTAGTGTGAGGGAATTCTGACAATTACAACACATAAAGAAAGCCTTACATTTATATATAAATATGTATAAATATGTATAAATATGCATAACTGCACACACGTGCACACAGATTTTTACAGTTTTACCTTGCCTTTACATTCATATGATTCAGATATAAATCTACGTTCACTGAATCACAACCTGGAAGTTCCTAAGGCACTGTTAAATCACTGGATCTTTTCTGAATCTGAATTCCAGTTTTTCACCAGCTCTAAAATCTCTAACTACTGCTATGCCCAATCTGCTACCTTGTCTTGGTTATCCACTCAAGATAAAACATCAGTTGGTAGAAAATTAGAGAATCTACTATTTTCCCAGTTAGTGCGTTTAAGTAATTAAGTGTTTCCCTGCTAAAAAAAACTCTTTTTTTTTTAACTTGATTATATCTGGTCTGTATTCCCTGTTATATCTTTCTCTGTTTGATTAAAGAGCTCCTTAAAAAGCAATATTTTCTCCCCAGGAAGGCACTTACTGGGAGTAATCAAATTGCCTTCAGTCTTCTGGTAGGTGAGCTAAGCAGACTGACCACTTTCGCTTCCCTTCCAGAGGGCATTTTTTTCAACTCTTGAGTAGTTTTGTGTTTGTTCTTTAAAATCTTGGCAACACTGTCAGTCCACATTTCAGAAGAGGGGACTTGAGTTCCTAGTATAGCATTTTTTTCTTGCAAACATTTCAGCTAAACAAATATTAAAAAAGCACAGAGGACTTTGATTTGCTCAACACAAATAATGTCTAGCCTCATGAAAATTATGTTTCCAGTACTTGCAGCTTACGATTTAATAAACTATTCCCTCTGCCAGTCAAACTGGCAGAGTTTGAAAAGTCAAAACTTTTTCTGATAAAAACCCTACATTTTTAATTAAAGCATATGGTAAAAGCATATTTGAATAAAGCTGTTGCCTTCTAAAAGCAGCCTAAGCATTCTTTGTAACAGTGATGTGACCTATTTAAAATGTAAGTCTTTCATTGAACATTCTAATAGTATATATATTAGTATATATATTTTTATATATATATCCTTGGATAATCAGCGATGGGGATAAACCCTTCTGTCCTCCTCTTCCTGCTCTCGCTGCAGATATCATTTGAAGATTTAATTGTGGCCAGAATAACATCTGAGAATGTGTTTCTCTAACTTTTCACAGCAGAGAGCTCAAGGATGATCATGGTCTCAAACTTTCCAGAGTGATGGCCTAGTTATTCCTACCTGTTACAAAATAGTTGTGTATTTTTAATTGTATTTTAGTGCTTTCCATGGCCGCATTCATATTCATTTCCTTTTAGAACAATACTAAAAAAGCAAACTGATACATTGAGTAAAATATGTCATAGGAAGTTTCAAAAAAAGCATTTACCAATGACCTTGTTCTGAGTTCTTGTAAAGTGATATTGTAAGTATTTTGCCTCATGTGCACAGTACCACCTGCAGTTTTAATTACAGCTGCAAAAATACCCCGATATGGTAGAAGTGGGAAGAAAGCAAAACTATAAAATCATCCACCTGTATAAAAATGAAATAATAGAAAGGCCCACAAAGTGCCTTGCTTTCCTTTGGAGCAGCTGATCTACATCATGCCAAATGGAGCCGTCTTTCTTCTTTATTCCACCACACCTGTTTTCCCTTTATCTTTCTTCTGGCCTTTTGTCTGTCACACAGTTGGAGGTGTAAAATACAATGTAAAATGCCAAAGATTTTTGCTTCAGTAATATGAGCACTAGCAAGGACTTGTATAAGTTTCCCCAGCAGCGCTGCTGCATGCCTGAAATTCTGATAAACCTTCACTTCCTCCATGCCTTAGTGCACACAGGCTTCCCTACTCATATAAATCCTATTGATTTAAAGATTACATCTGTTAGATTAGCAAAAAAAAAAAAAAAAAAAAAAGGCATTTTAAAACCAGCCTCATTAGTTTCATTAGGAACTGAAAGCCTCTTTGGGACAGGTGGGATCAGGAAGGGATGGCCCATTTGCAGTGTGAACGCAGCCTCCAGATGGGAACTGGGAGCAGAGCTGCCCTCACCCTGACACCCATGAGCCTCCCGCCAGCATTGGCCCAGCCAGGATGGCGGTGATGGGCAAGGGCAGAGCAGGGAATAGAAGATAAAATGTTGATTGGTTTGATTTATAGTGAAGACCGTGAAGCACCTGTCATGGCTGATTGACTTATGGGAAGGAGAAGTCAGGAATAAGCCAGTGAGGGCTTTTGTTTTGGCCTCTGACTTAACTCATCGTTGCTGAAGGTCACGTGGTAATTTAGGAAAGGCTGCGCTTTACGTTGGCTCTAAATCCCTGCGAGACGCAATTCCTGCAGCTGCCAGGCGAGCAGCGCGTGCAGAACCCTCTGCTCCTGCCTGCTGGCCACGACATCGTCCCGCGTGAGAAAGGTTCTTCTGGCCTTGCTGGAGCAGAGCAAAGACCTCGCAGGGTGAAGGCCATGCAGTGGTATCCCACCTCCCGTTCCTGCTCCAGCAGCGATTAACTTGGACCAAGTAACGTTAGAGATTCTCTTGGTCACGAGCCAAGTTTGTAACACAGGCTCCTTTCTCCACGCTGTACAACTCAGGTGCTTTATGTCCAAGTGCAGTGTAGGAGCAGCATCTTCTTTGCACTGCCTACTGTTGAGCTTTGCTAAATAAAAAAAAAAAAAAAAAAAGGACAATAAGGTAGAAAAAAGTCATCCAAGTAGGAATATTTTTCACTTTATTGAGAACCTTGTACTTGCTGAACAATTGAGCAGCCCACTCCTGGAGTCCTATTATTATATGGAAAGGAAGTTAGCTGTCTTGCTCACTTTATGCTTTCCCATAATGTCTCATCACCCTCATCATTACGAACAGATTCCTTTAAAATGAGAATGCTGATGGATCCAAACTAGAAGGCAAATGCTCCTCTATTTAAGTTGTCACAAAGGCATCTTGCACTTTCTGAACAGAGGAGATTCACTGCTCTGAACAGTCAGCTGGAAACGTTCATGCTCCTGTGAAAAGTATTTGAGATCAATACCTTGTCCCTCGCAGTACTTTCAACCAGAGCCAAATAGTCTTCAGGTTGAAAGTGTGTAAGGGAGAAATTACCATTCATTGCCCTTTTCTCTCTCTCTCTCTTTGCAGAAAGCTGTGGGATTTTATTTATTCTTTCTGCTCAGGATTGACCTTTAGCTACTGATTCCAGGATATAGAGCTCAGTCTCAGTTACCTGGTTTCACATTTCAGAGAACGTGTTTTCTTTAGAAGATTATTTCTTGAAAATGAAGAGTTGATTAAACACACTGATTAACTGAGCAGCCTCCTTTAAAGACCACAGTCAGACTGGAGAACAGACACCAGAAACTTTGTGCACATTGGAGATGTATTTACTGTGAAATTTGGTCCTTTGACCACAGCTTGCAGCTATTAAGCAAACAGTCCTCAGCAGAGTCTGCTCTTTTGCCTTCACCTCCCTAGAAATTGGGAATATCCAGAGCCACAGCCAAGACATCAGCTGCACCCAAATAAGTGACTGCTCTGAAACCAGAAGCCTCATGGAAGGGCTGTGGCTGCTGCCAGGACTGACAACAAGTTGTCTTGCAATTTTTCACTGCTGCTCAGTCTCCTATTTCCTCCAAACTAGAACCAGTCCATTCCTCAATTTTATTTCTGATGCATCCCGCAACCTCAGCAATGCCCTGCCTGTGAAACAGTGTTTCCCTCCCTATTTTAACATAACCCRGGAAAATGTTAAAGTATAAATAAAGTATAAATAACAGGGCACTGAGGCTGGTAGAGAAACTGTTTGCATTTTTATGGTGAGTTTGCGGTTGGAGGGAGAAAAACTTGTCAGGATGTAGCAAATAAAGCTGTGTTGTTACCACACTGCTGAAAGCAATATTAAATCAAAATAGGTTTTCAAAACCAATAGAAAAGCAGAACCAGAGTTTAAGCAATTCAGGCATTTAATAGGTTGTACTACAACACTGTGCCCAGACCAAGCAATTAGCCAAGTTGATTCTTACAGCTTCGAATGTCTCTAAAGCAGCTCCTGGCATTTATCCAGTTTTCACTCAAATACGTTTGTGCCCAAACCAAAGGTATTTGTGATGGGCAACATTAAAAACAGCTTTAGAGACACTTCCTGCATTAGGTTTTGGGCTGCTTTGATTGTGTTTCTCTAGGCCTTTCACTTGCCATTTTGAATACAAAGTCTTTGGTAATGCCCTGAGTGTTACTTTGCCTAATTTGTAAGCTTGGGGGCCCAGGAATCCTTTATTTGAAACTTGCTTTAACTGTGGGAAATAGGAAGTGAGCAGAGAGAAGCAAATCTTTTATAGAGAGATGCTTGTTCGGACTATAAATTAGGCAGTGCACAATAGAAGCAGGAAYAGGCAAGTCTGCCTTTCTGCAGCCTGAGACGTATTGGGAAAGATAGGAGCTTTCAAGGATAACTGGGCAGATTGCCGGGCTGTAAGTTTGCTTTATGAGCATGGTTAAAAGACGTTCAGCTCATGTTTGTCCATGAAAAGTGCTTTAGCYGGTAACCTCGCATACTCCCCAGCAAAGAGGAGCCCCTACTTGAGAGCAAACAAACAGCAGACGTTCCCATCTGCCACCTTTTGGAGACGTGTTGGAAAACTTTTACAACCTGTCTTTGATTTCGCACAAGTGTTGCTGCATCATAACACGTCAGTCACCTGCATGAAAACGAATGATACTTGTGTAACTGCTGCTTCTTAACGTGTTTTTTAGTTTGGAAATAAATATGAAGAAAGCACGAAAATAAATATACACCTTGAGTCTTCAAATGCCTGCAGCAGAACTGCACTAGGTCCTGGATGGCTTCTTGGAAGGGTTGGTTAAGGCACAAGGCTGCAAGGAGCAGAATCCCAACCCTCTGGAAGTCCGTGGGAAATTTGCCAATGGCACCAGGGGTTTATGCCCAACTTTGGCAACTGTTTACTCAATTTGAGTAGTTTTCCTCATATTAATCGCCTACTAAAGTTCAGCTCACTTAACTTCCCATATATTTGCAGGATCATCTTTTCTATGAGGCTGGGGGTTGTGTCAGTACTGCATTTATCCTTCATTAAAGGAGAAGTCTTCTCCTCTTTTTACATTGCACCTTGCTCAAAGGCATCCTACTGAGCAAGAAGTCTTCTATAGAGGGAGGTAGCATTTTAAGATGACCCAATAAAAGAGGGAGATGGTTTAAAAATAGACCTAAGAAGGTTGTGTTCTGAACTTCTTTCCCAGCTTTACCCCTGTACTTCTCAGGCTGTTTTGATAAGTCATTAACCTTGCTGTCAGGTAGCCTTTCTAATAAAAGGAATGAAGATAATGAGCATTTGCTCCTCCAAAATATTCTTAGGGGAATAGAATAACATTACTTAAAACATCTCTTTAGTTTAGTTTTGTTTTACTTGATATTGTTTCAAGTATCCCCTAAGACTCTTRAATTTTAAAGAACAGAGTTACGTTTCCTCCTTGTCCACAGTTTGTGGGGTTGACAGAACTCTTTTTATAACCAGTATTCCCCGTGTCGTGTGACTTTCTTTTGTCATGAGGTAAAATGGTTCCCTCAGCAGAAGAGAGACAGTAACTTTAAAATCACAGTTGACTCATGGGGTTTTGAGAAGCAGCAGACTAAATTGATAAATACCTCAAACTGTGTTTCAATAGAAGAAATTCTGAATCAATAATATCACCTCCATTTGTTAGCGTTTCTAAACCATTGCAAGATCTCCAGATGGAAGTGGCTTTTGAAATGCAGAGTATGTAATAAATAATATGTGTTACAATATGGATCACTTGACAAATCACTCAAATGCAGTCATCTCTAGGGAGGAAGGATGCCTGCGACTCGAGCAGGCGCCTGAACAGCTTCACAGCACGGAGGACATGAAAGGGGGGTTGAAATGTTTTTAAAACAACCAAAATAGTGTTCTTAAATATATATATATATATATGTATGTATGTATGTATAATTTAAGTGCATATTTTCCCAGTAAGTTTAAGGATCACAGCTAAGTAGAACCTCTGCTTTTTATCTTTCCCCTCTCGAACCCTCCAGCTCCCCAGACAGCAYCGTGTTCCCTGTCAGTAAGTCAGGGCATTACCCMTTTTTCAATGGGAATTAATTCAGCTTCATGAAGCGTCACTGTGTTTGCTGTAGCCTCGTGGCTTTCCCCAGGACTCAGTTTATTCACACAGTCTAGGGAAGGCAGAAATGAAGGGGCCCTGGGATGCAGCTTACTGTGTTCAAGGTGTTGACTTTGGTGTAAAACTCATCAGTAGAATCCAATAGACGCGGTGTTTTTAATCAAATCCACTTGAAAAGTTCTTACTTTTCTGCTAGACTATCTAAAAAGATGCAAGTTTTTGCTCACTGATTAAGTAARAAGTAAAATGAAACATGTTTTCCTGTCTGCATTAGCAGTACAGCAGTAAAATAATCCCAATGTGTTAGAGTGGTACAAGCTAGAGAATATGCCATTAAGGGCTAAATGCTCCTAATCAGATTATCCCCAGTTCAGATTGGTTCAGCGTCTCTTTCTTACACTAGGAAAATTTTAAATTGTTGATCCCTGCCTTTACAGAGTCCCAAAGCAGAAGTGGAATCCTCTGTTTTTTTTGCCCTTGGGCCTTTTCTTTTTCATATATTGAAAGGCATTTCTTCACATCTTTTTCAGATGTGCGTGATTTTTTGTCTCTCAKGTCAGAAACAGACTTTGATATATTGTATATCAACAATAAAAATATAAAAAGCAAGGTGAATTTCATCRTTATTACAGGCCCAGCAATGTATATTTCCCTCCAATTTTATTGCTGTCTGTCTAAGACTGGAAGCATAACTTAATATAGGTTTCTCTGTGCTTCACTCTGGCGTACCATCATCTGGTGAAAATGAAATTGTATGGAGAGCGCAGTTGAACTCCAGTGCCATTTAACTCACAGAGCATTTTATTTCAGCTGTCTCTTAAACATTTCCCAGGCTACTTCATTATRACGGCTGCTTATGATTGCTCGTGCTCCTGCTGGTAATGCGTTCTGCTAACCCTTCCAAGTATCACGGAAATCTGAACTTTATTCTCTCTCTGAGGCCAACATCTGTTTGTGCAGTACTGTAGTGTAGGTACAAGTCTATTTTTATTCTCCTAAGAAGAAGATGTAGGTGGACAGGGACAGGTGGACAAGGTGGACTGTGATCAAGCAAAGTAATAGCATGCTTAAAATAGAGCCAGGCACTTTTCAGAACAACAGAAACAGTTCCAAACCTTGGAGCAGTTCTCGACTTGACCTTGCAAGACAGGTCAAGTCTCCTCATCCTAAAGAACAGTCATTTCCAAAGCAGTTCCTGGGGTTCCTGCTTATTTTGAAACTTTTAAATAAAAAAGTTTGTTTTATTTCAGTCTTTGTAAAATTGTGTGTGTAGTCCTAAATATTACAGACCCTAATATAGCCTAAAATGTAGTGGCAGCTTCAAGTCTSTACTGCTGATGTGATTTAATGTTGCACATCACAACACAATGTACAAGGCAAAAAACAACACAAGATTTAACTGACTCTTGATGGTATAAGAAGAGGATTTAGGTGACATTAAGAGGCTTGTTTTTTAGCTTTATTAACAGAGTGGGGAAAAGGAAATCCCCTAACAGCTGTACAAGTCCCTTGTAACCAACACGGTGATTGAATCTTCCCTATTATTATTGTAGATATATTTTCCAAACTATGGATGCTGAAAATCTCCCTTTTGAACTTCTCTGCCATATTCCCTGAGTAGGTCTTTTAATTAGGGACAATTTTGCTTCCCGTGTATKTGCTGTTTCTTTTGAACTGAGCAGTAGCTATATAACATTAAATGACATTTCTCAACATGCAGTTTCTCAACATTTCCCAGTCCCACCATACAGCAACATAACATCATGTARTTATCTGAAGTGAGTTATATTTCTCTAGGTGCCTATTCCATAATCTGAATAGACTTCAATGACTTCAAATGTTTTTCTTTCATTAACTATAGGTTCTTATCAAAGTGTTGGATAACAATGATAACGGCCCAGAATTCTCTCAGGCAAGTTATGATGTCACCATTTCAGAGGACATCCTCCCAGACACTGAAATTCTGCAAATTGAAGCTATAGACAGAGATGAGAAAAATAAGCTGAGCTACACTATTCACAGCAGCATTGATGGAGTCAGCATGAGAAAATTCAGAATTGATCCCAACACTGGGGTGCTCTACACTGCTGAGAGGCTGGACCATGAAGCTCAGGACAAACACATCCTTACTGTCATGGTAAGAGCACAATATTCATTTGTATCGTTCCCGTTTCAGGTGGGTATGTGCCTTAGGGCTTCCATTGCAGTAAGCAATCATAGTTTTCATGTTACCTGCACTGCTGCGCATCTATTTCACATTTTTTATTTCTTCTTTTGATGAAACTCACTGTGAATACATTGTAGTTATTATGAAATGATTTGTCAACTCAAAGGAGAGCAAGTAATACATTATATAATTTCTTAACACCTGGTCATTTCATAGGAGGTAACTTTTAGAATGTCTTAAGAGACTGAAAGTTATTTGAGAAGTTATATATGGGAAGATAACTACTTTCTTGTAATAGAGAATGCTACAGCCCTTGCAAACACAAGTCTGATTTATAGCTTACTTTTACAGATGTATTTCAGGACATAAGCTACTGCTACCCAAAACAGCTTTCAGGTACTTTCCAAATGCTTGAGTGTGCAAAAAAAAAAATATTTTATTATTCAACATAGCTAGATTGCATAACATAATTTGCTGTTTTCAAATGAAAGGTGTATATCATGAAGTGGAGGTTAGTGGAAAAAATCCTATCACTGTAGTCTACTATTTTCTTTAGTCACTTAAAAGCCCTGCGGAAATAGGGCAGCTTTAGGTGGAGGGAGCCCAGGGATCAGAGAGCCCCTGTGCTCTCCAGCAAGCAGGAGCTGAGCAGAGCATCAGTCACAGCGTAACAAGCTGCGAGTCCCTTGGTGAGCAGCAGGTAAGGAGAAGCATAAGCCAAGCTACAGGGAGGCAGGGCTGACAGAGCCCAGGTGCTTGCATTTGAGCTCCACATGATGCAATAGTTTGCTTGCTTTGTTGGAGGAGAACCTGTTGGAAATATCCATTGGCAGGATGGTCGGTGTAGTATGGGATGGGAGAGAGCAGTAAGTGTCCAGCACTTCTTTAAGATAATTCCTAGCCTTTCTAGTCCCATCAGTGTCATCATCTCCCAAAAGGTATGTACATACACACTCATGAAAAATCTGCTAGTAACTGCGAACMCTAGGCTGACACGAGGGGTCATAGTGAGTAACATTCTCCTTAGCTTGTAGAATGAAGGTCTATGGGCAACATTCATTGGGCTGGTTTGTTTTCATKCTGTAAAGGACTGGCAGGGCAAATAAATGATTGTGTAGTATGTATTTCAGAAAAAAATACAATATCTTGCAAACCTAAAACTGAATTTAAATATCATGTGGCTACCAGTTTAAAAGTCTGAATCTTGGTGGTTAGATGGTGTGCATTTTTTTCATAAATRAAAAGAAAAAAAAAACTTTTCTAAGCTCTTCCTATTTTTTGAGGCTCAGTATGAACCATCAAGTGGGTGCAACTAGAACCATCATTTGTCATTTTTTCGACAGTGAGGTCTCTAGGACAAACAGACATGCTTATTATTTTATATTAAATAGTACTGATAGTATTAATAGCACTCAGATTACTAATATTTATAAAATTTTAATAGATTGGTATTTATATGTAATAGATTCATATGTGTATTATGCGATTTTTCTATAGGTCCGAGATCAAGAATTCCCTTATAGAAGAAACCTGGCCAGAGTCATCATAAATGTGGAGGATTCCAATGATCACAGTCCATACTTCACCAGTCCRCTGTATGAAGCCTCAGTATTTGAATCAGCAGCTATTGGATCAGCAGTCTTGCAGGTCACAGCTTTGGACAAAGATAAAGGAGAAAACGCAGAGCTTATCTACACTATTGAAGCAGGTCAGTTCAGAGGCTGCAAATACACAATGAAATCATTCACTATAAACTGAAAAGTGCTTTTACCCTTATTAACACAAGTCAGCTTCTTTCTCCTACCTTCCTCTATAGAGCTGAACAAAGATGGCACATCCTTATTAGCTGCTTTTCATTTTTAAGCTATACAATATAAAAATCTTTCAGGAGAGGGTTGCTTTCACATTAGCTAGATGGATCCTGAGCCCTTTACCTCTAAATAATTGATGCAAGTCCATCACAGAAGTTGGGTGCCAAAAGCTATTAGCAGTGACTGTTCTCAGGTCACTGGCTTCGGTCTGATACATACAGGACTCTTCATAAATGCGTGCCATGACAGTTGGTGTGAGCTGRTTTCTTTGCTGATATTACGATCAAAGGAACATGGAGACTGACATCAGGTTTAGGCTAAAAACTTCTTCCAGCAGAGCAGTAGTTAGCAGCACAATATCTCTTAAAATTACAGCATGTCAATGGAAGCCTAAGGGAAGGGACCAGATACAGTTGTTTTTGCTAGAAGGGTCTGTATATTTGCMTTTATCATATAGCAGCAAAAGCGTTTCTGCACCAGTATATCAGCAAGATTATGGGAAATTTGTATTTTCCTTGCCACTCAGACAAGCAGATGTAGCTTTCTCTTGCTACTCCCGTGGCCGTTATCTAAGATCAGGGAAAATTTTACATGTGCCAAGGCAGGGCAATGCTGTTCCTTTTATAAGTAGACTGGTTTGGCTTCCTGGAGGAATGTAGTTCAAGAGTGTGCTTGGTACCTGTTCTATCCTTGATGTACTCTAAAACTGTAATCACTCTTGTGTCTCTTCACTTCTCACTCCTCTACCTAAATATAAAAGCCTAAAAGCAAGGGTTGGGGAAAAGAACAGAGAAAGATAGGGAAACAGAAGATGTTTTCAAGATAAATGTTAACATTGGAAGAAGAACATGGTAAACCTCAGWTTTGCTACACATAGAGGTTAACAAATCACTTGCTAATAGCTTGATGCATCATAAATAGCTCCTTGTACTGGAGTCGAGCCATCTGCCTCGTGAAAGCCTTCTCTAATGCCTGTCCTTACTTAAAGTCAGCTTTTGGCCACATGCATGCCCAAGGGTTTGCTGGTTCAGTGCTACAGTCGTTATATCATGTGACATCTAAAGGCCTATCTCACGGGTTATGCCCATTTCTCCCTTGCAATTTGTGTAATTTATTGATGTATCTTGTCTCCTGGAGTACTASAAGTTTGAGAATTATCCAGTCTCTGTTTCTACAGCAGTTAGGCTGGGCTGCAAGCCAGTCACCTCTAGGTGCCACCGCAATGCAAAGCACAGCCTGACGTGCCAAGCGTGTGATCCCCWATGCACTGGTAATAGTGCGCATGATGCAGACAGAAAATGGGTCGATTAAAAGGGATCTTTGGTCTGTTAGATGGCWTTTTTTTTTGTCTGCGTGTTTTTTTCCTCTTTCTAGAGGCTTTCTACTCCATTGCAGCCTGTTTCTGTTTCATCAGAAGCTCTCACTGCAGTGTCAGACTTCAAACTTGCATTTATTATAAAGCTATGCACTGCCACAATTTCATTATACACAGATGTTCCAATCCTAAATGCATCAAAATTCAGTCTTCTGTTGCTGTAGTTTTCTATGATCCATAAAATCTGAGCTGCTGAGGATACTAATTCTAACTGCAGCACTCACATTGTACMCAGCCCCTTTAATCAGGGGAAATACTTAGATCAGCTTACATGTGAACAGAGCAATCGTTAAAAAAAAAAAAGTAACTCTTGTATAATTTCATAAGAAATCCCTAAAGGAGAAGAACCAGCTCTGCCCTTACACGAGGCARTCAGTGACTGCAGTTGATTTGTATCAGCAAGCTCTGACAAAATAACCGCAGCACCATTTGCAGTGTCTGCAAATGTGACAGGTGCTGTGATCTTTACGGGAATTTGTATCTCTGGCAGAATCTCAGTTCCTCGGTGAATACCATAATTTTTTGATTTAGCTAGTGAAGTCTACCGAAAGGATGAGGATGAGCGGACTACTGAACAACACACCATTGCATGTGCCTTAAATTAGCTTCAGAGTTTACAGAAGATAGTGCACCACATCTTAAAAATAATTTAATCAATTCACTTCATCAGGTATTCTATATATTCATATTCCAGACAGAATTTTCATATTTACTTCTCTTTGCACAGCACCTGAAACATACCTGTGTGAAGAATATCTCARTTTACTACCAGGTACCTGAGGAAATATTTATCTCCAGGACGCTTCACAGTAGATTGGAAGCCGTTYTACATTTTGAAATATAAATTACCATGATAGCAAGAACAGGTTATAATGATTGGTATCTCTATAGCTTAGTACATGCTATTTGTACTTAGAATCTAACTCAGAAGAAGAGCCTTTTTGTSATATAACACACATAGCATCCTGTCCTTTAAGCAGACGCACAACAGATCAGCAAAATGTGGATTACCTGGCAAAGATGATTTCTAATTACAGTTTAAAGATAAATACCAAAGCTTTGCATCTGTCTGCTAATAAAAAAGTTGGCAGTACAGATATCTAAATAAATAAATAAATAAATAAATAAATAAGAATGTGTTTGATACAAATCTACTATTTTCACATTTATGAAGACAGTGATCTCCCTACCTGCATGTTCTAATGAAAATTTCATGACATGGTCTGCTATCTAGATTCTATTTATCTAGAATCCTCCATTCAGAGATCATAGGATAACCTTTGTGCACAAGATAGTTACCTCTTTCCTAAGCTATTTTTCTGTTTAATTTTCTAAATGCCACTTTAACCTTTTATATCCAGTTCTTTGAGAGTTGAGCTACTGTAATCTTCTCTCTAGTTGCTTAGTATTCCCTTCAGTTAATGGGTAGAGCTGTTGCTCATTTGTCATGTAATTGGCTTATTAGACTCTGATCTAATTTCTGTGATTTAGGTGTATATATGCGTTTGACTAATTCCTATAATTGATGCTGTTTCCCATTTCTGTTCTGGAAATATTCTATTTGTGCCATTTGTTCAAATGTTGACGCTCAGAGTCAAGATGTAGGTAGCAGTAACTGAGTTTCCAACGTTGATAGGTTTGAATACCTATACTAACTTCTGAGATGGCCTGATTTTTCAAAGAGGAAAGATGAAAGACTCTCTATAATTATTTTGTTTGTTCTATACCTGACTTTGACAAATTACAAGTAATTTCATCCTGTTTTAAACTATGCTTTAAGTGTATTGTAGTTCACTTCTAATTTGCATACATTATTTCTGTTTTAGGTAATACTGGAAACACATTCAAGATTGAACCAGTTTTAGGGATCATTACATTACTGAAGGAGCCAGATTTAACCACAATGGGACAGTTCGTTTTGTCAGTCAAAGTGGCTGATCAAGGTTCTCCACCGTTGTCAGCAACAGCAATTGTGCGGATATCTGTGACAATGGCAGATAACTCCCACCCAAAGTTCACTCTCAAGGAATACCAAGCAGAGGTTAATGAAAATGTGGATGTTGGTACTTCTGTCACCTTAATTTCTGCAATCAGTCAGTCCACATTAGTTTATGAGGTTAAAGATGGGAATGTGGATGGAGTCTTTGCTATAAACCCGTATTCTGGAGTCATCACCAGTCAAAAAAACCTTGATTATGAACGGGCTTCCTTCTATCAGCTCATTGTACAGGCGACAAATATGGCAGGCATGGCATCAAATGCCACTGTGAACATTCAGATTGTTGATGAGAATGATAACCCGCCAGTTTTTCTCTTCTCTCAGTACTCGGGCAGCATAAGTGAAGCTGCTCCTGTAAATAGCATAGTCCGAAGTGCAAGTAACAGTCCCCTCGTGATACGAGCCACTGATGCTGACAGTAATCAGAATGCTTTGCTTGTCTACCAGATTGTTGAATCTACAGCAAAAAAATATTTCACAGTTGATTCCAGCACAGGGGCGATCAGAACAATTGCAAATTTGGATCATGAAACAATAGCCCACTTCCACTTTCATGTCCATGTTAGAGACAGTGGAAATCCACAGCTCACAGCAGAGAGCCCAGTTGAAGTGACCATTGAGGTAACGGATGTCAATGACAACCCACCAGCCTTCAGCCAGTCCGTATTTGAGACTSTCTTGCTTCTGCCCACATATGTTGGTGTTGAGGTTCTTAAAGTCAAGGCTACAGATCCAGATTCAGAGATTCCTCCTGAACTATCGTACAGTCTGATTGAAGGCAATATGGACCATTTTTTAATTGATTCAAGTACAGGAGTACTTACCATTAAAAATAATAGCCTATCCAAAGACCATTATATGCTAATAATAAGAGTATCTGATGGGAAATTTTATAGCACTGCTATGGTGACAATAATGGTGAAAGAAGCCATGGATAGTGGGCTCCACTTTACACAAAACTATTATTCTACTTCCATCTCAGAAAACACTACTAACATCACAAAGATCGCTGTGGTGAATGCTGTTGGTAACCGTCTCAATGAGCCCTTGAAATACAGCATACTAAACCCAGGCAACAAATTYAAAATCAAATCTACCTCAGGAGTCATTCAGACAACTGGCATCCCCTTTGACCGAGAAGAGCAGGAACTGTACGAGCTGGTAGTGGAAGCAAGCCGTGAACTAGATCACCTTCGTGTCGCTCGCGTAGTGGTCAGAGTCCACATTGAGGACATAAATGACAACGCTCCAGTGTTTGTAGGGCTTCCATACTACGCTGCTGTGCAGGTCGATGCTGAGCCTGGTACCCTGATATATCGAGTGACGGCTATTGATAAAGATAAGGATGAAAATGGTGAAGTGTCCTATCTTCTGAAGGAAGACTATGGACATTTTGAAATCGACAGGGTGTCTGGCAGTGTTATTTTAAAAGAAGCCTTCAATTCTGATTTATCCAATATAGAATATTTGGTGGTCGTTCTTGCAAAGGACGGTGGTGACCCCTCATTGTCTGCTTCAGTAGAGCTCCCCATTACTATCGTTAACAAAGCGATGCCTGTCTTTGACAAGCCATTCTATACAGCTTCTGTGAATGAAGATGTGGAAATGCACACTCCCATATTAAGCATAAATGCAACCAGTCCAGAAGGCCAGGGTATCATTTATATCATTGTTGATGGAGATCCCTACAACCAGTTTAATATTGACTTCGATACTGGAGTTCTCAGCGTCATCAGTGCACTGGACTATGAAATAAATTCTCTTTTCAAGCTGACTGTGCGAGCCAGTGATGCCCTCACTGGTGCCCGAGCTGAGGTCGCTGTAGACTTGATCATTAATGATGTGAATGACAATCCTCCAGTCTTTGATCAGTCAACCTATAATGCTATCTTGTCTGAAGCATCCTTGATTGGGACTCCTGTGTTACAGGTTGTTGCTACTGATGCTGACTCTGACAATAATAAAATTGTGCAGTATCAGATAGTCCAGGACACCTTTAACAGCACGGACTACTTTCATATAGACAGCACAAGTGGCCTAATTCTAACAGCCCGTATGTTGGATCATGAGTTCATACAGCACTGCAGCTTCAAAGTCAGAGCAACTGATAATGGCTTCCCACCACTTAGCAGTGAGGTTCTTGTTAGTATCTCAGTAACAGATATGAATGACAACCCTCCAGTTTTCAACCAGTTAATTTATGAATCGTATGTAAGCGAACTGGCACCTCGTGGTCATTTTGTGACTTGTGTGCAAGCTTCTGATGCCGACAGCTCTGATTTTGACAGGCTGGAGTACAGCATCCTCTCAGGAAATGATCGGACCAGTTTTGTCATGGACAGCAAGAGTGGTGTCATCACCCTTTCCAATCACCGGAAACAGAGAATGGAACCCATGTATAGCTTAAATGTCTCTGTCTCTGATGGGTTGTTCACCAGCACGGCTCAGGTGCACATACAGATCCTTGGAGCCAATCTCTACAGCCCTGTGTTTACACAGAGTGTTTATGTTGCTGAGGTTAGAGAAAACGCTGCTCCTGGAACTAAGGTAATCCACGTGAAAGCAACAGATGGTGATTCAGGTATATATGGCCAAATAAGCTACTCCATAATAAACGACTTTGCCAAAGACCGATTTTTGATTGATAGCAATGGGCAGATTCTCACAACTGAGAGGCTGGACCGGGAGAACCCCCTGGAGGGTGATATTAGTGTATTTCTGAGAGCCCTCGATGGAGGTGGCAGGACTACATTTTGTACTGTGAGAGTGATAGTAGTGGATGAGAATGACAACGCTCCCCAGTTTATGACTGTAGAATACAGAGCAAGTGTCAAAGCAGATGTTGGGAAGGGTTACTTGGTGACCCAGGTGCAAGCTGTAGATCCAGACGATGGAGCCAATTCAAGAATTACCTACTCGCTGTATAGTGAGGCATCTGTTTCAGTAGCTGATCTGCTTGAAATAGATCCCGACAATGGATGGATGGTTACCAAGGGTAGCTTCAATCAGCTGAAAAACACAGTTCTGTCCTTCTTCGTTAAAGCAGTTGATGGTGGCATTCCTGTAAAGCATTCTCTTATTCCTGTCTACATCCACGTTTTACCTCCAGAGATTATTTTGCCTTCCTTTACTCAACCACAATATTCTTTCACTGTGGCAGAAGACACTGTTATTGGCAGTACTATTGATATTCTGCATGTTTTGCCTAATCAGGRTGTTTTGTATAGCACAGTTAATGGAGAGTTGAGTGACAACAACAAAGATGGGATTTTCATCATAGAACAAGACACAGGAGTCATAAAATTGGATAAGAGGCTTGACCATGAGACAAATTCTGCTTTTCACTTCAAAGTTGCAGCCACCATTCGGTTAGACAAAGTAGACATTGTAACAACAGTAGATGTGGAGGTTAAGGTGTTGGATGTAAATGACAACAAGCCCATGTTTGAAACTGCTAGCTACGATGCTATAATAATGGAAGGGATGCCCATAGGAACGAAGCTCATGCAGGTTAAAGCAGTTGATGCAGATGCAAGTGCAAATGGTCAGGTCACCTACACACTGGCAGTGGAATCGGAGCTGGAGAAGATCACGGAAGCGTTCACCATTGACAGCAACAGTGGCTGGATCAGCACACTGAAGGATCTGGACCATGAAAAGGATCCTGCCTTCACTTTTGCGGTTGTGGCCTCAGATCTGGGGGACACTTTATCCTTATCTTCGACCGCCCTGGTCTCCGTCACCGTGACAGACATAAACGATAACGCGCCCGTCTTTGAGCATGACGTGTACAGGGGTTCGGTGAAGGAGAGCGACCCTCCGGGTGAAGTGGTGGCTGTTCTCAGCACGTGGGATGAAGACACATCCGACGTCAACCGGCAGGTTAGCTACCATATTACAGGTAAGAAACAAAAGGTAGGCTTTCTTGCCAAAACCAGCCTTACTGAAAAGTTATTACCTTGTTAGACTAGTTACTGTTACCTAGTTTTATGTGAAGGTTTAGCAGGGTTTCAGATACATTACTGGGAAATTTAAGGAGAAAAAAATAAAGAAATTGTAAATCAGAGGGAGTAGGGAGTGCCGTTTCTTATAAGTGCAGTTTAYTGAGCAGGGATGTAGTTTTCCGCTCTGAAGGACTGCTTAGCTGCCATGCATTGTTATATATGGAACGAGGCAATTCTAACTTTATTATTAACATATTTTTCAAAGTGTTGTAACACTGTTCATTCCTGTTGTGCTATGCTTACTCTTTTCTCCTAGATTCAGGCTAGATTTTGTTTGTGGGTGTGATGAGAGATGGGTTGCTGCAGTTATTTTTCTGTGTACAACCATCATTCTCTAACAGATGTTTTAGGGAACAAGTTTTTCACTGCTCCCAACCCAAGAGCTAGTATGAGTTACACAACAATAGCCAGATGATTGGTAAAACTCACATTTATCTCTTTTGATGAGATTAGAATTATACAAGAATCCATCTAGATAGCAGGCAGTGGGCAAAAACACCAAGTCTGGCTTAACGCGCAGGGGAGCAGTTTATGTACTTTGCTCTGGAGGATAAGACTCCTGCCCTGCATTAGCTCTCAAATTGGGAATGGATGTGGGATGGGTTTTAGTGACAAGTGTACTTAGTCCTGGGTTGGCTGTATTGTACACCTAAAATAGCATCATTTGCAAAGCAGCCAAAAATTCATTTTGATGGTTTAAATAAAAATCAATATTCAGTTTGAAGCCAAAAGTTTCTGCACTGTGATGTGATGGCTGGGGTGTTTATGGTGTGTTGTGTTTTAGGCTATTAGGATTAGAGATAAAAAATCACCTTTTGGGTGAAATCACTGCATACAGAGGCAGTGGGAAAGATTTATTAGCTGTCTGTGCCAGGGTTTCCATGTGTCTAAAACTAAATACATCATCCTAGTGATCTTGTTGTGATATTGAAAGGAGTTTTGAGACACCAGTATAGCGTCTTACAAGAAAAGCAAACCCCTTGTGTTTGTAACAAAATTCTATTAGTATATTGTAGTAATTCGCCCAAGATACTGTTTTTCTTTTAGTTCCAAGGTTAAGTCATCTGTTAATCATTTTATTTATGTATTAGTCTGTTTTCTTCACATTCYTGTGCTGTTTATTTAGCAAAATTGAACATTTTAAGAACATCAGTCACATGTGGCTCAAACAAATCTATGCCTTCATTTGTATCAAAATACTTCAGACATTTTGCCTTGAATTTCTGCAAACATTAAATTTCAAATCCCCAAWCTTTCTCAAATGTCTCCCTTACAATTGCTGTAGCATTTGAGCTCAGAAGCTCCACTGTTCATTCAATTTGGGAAATGTACACAGATAGAATTAGCTTCTTTTGATTAATATGTTAAAACATGTTAAATTGCAGTTTAGCTAATGAAATTGTCTACCCACACCTTTACCCCAAATTGAGCTCAGGAACTGCACTAGACTATTTCATGAAATCATATTATCTAGATGATTATTCAAAGTGACTGTGGCTTTTTGAAGACRTTTTGAGACATTGACATTTCTGTAAATACAATAAATATTTATTAGTAAATATTTGTACAGAAATATAACATGCAACTTAAAATGGAAAAAGAACATAAATGATGAGAACAGCATGGGGATACAGCAAAACAGCTTCTTGCAAATACAGCTGGTGAAAAGTAGCACACAGAAAATAGATGGAAGGAGATGAGGAAAATKAATGTCCTGCGCTGGATGTGGTTATAGAACAGTCCATTGTGCTTTTTTTCAAATATACAATAACAAGCCTTCTAATCAACTTTGAGAAGGGGCAAATACCTTCTGGTGGATAAATATATGATCTATTTTGAGTTGTTTCTGCTTAGGATTTGCTTACACAATCAGTGGCAAGTAGCTGCCATTTTCAAATTCAGATGCATCTTGCTGTGAATAGTGGAAAAAAAGACTTTTGCACTTGCAGTTTGTTTTGGGGAGCTTGGTGGCCATTGGAGATTTTCACAAAAGGAAAACACTACATTTAAATTTTACYAGAAAATCAGAAGGAGGCACAGAAATACACTAAGGAACAGGGTAATTTTCTCCTCTCCTCTGCTCTCCTCTGCTGTCCTTCTCCTCTCTTGACCTTATTTGAGACCACAGCTTATCTAATTTGAGACACTGTGGCTAAACCCAAGTTCAGCTGATGTTTGGCTAGGATGAGCCAGCTTAGACCCTGCCCCATTATAATAGAGTTTTAACAGTGGTAAACCAGGAAAAGCAGCCAGAAAAAAAGATGTTACTTGCTAGGACTTAGGTACAGTAGAGTATTTAATGCCCCCTAATATTCCCATATGATATTTGTTAGATTCCATCACACACATAAATGTAAGAATAGAAAACGTCTAAGCTTCCTTCAGCCAAATACAAAGGTGGTGGTATATTTTTGAGGAAAGAACTGTTATTYGATGCGTTTTTTTTTTTTCACTGGATTCCTTGACCAAGTACATTGAGCTAAGTTTTTATTGCTGTTTCTATATTGCTGTTTCTGTATGCCCTAAGCACATGAAGGCAACATCTCTGGCAGGGTCAGCACTGATTGCCTGATGGCAGCATCTGGGACCTAAGAATGGGCCCTTCTGAGATCCTGGAGCTCTGCAGAAATGGATATTCAAGGGAGAGTTTGGGAAGAGTTTGGACTGTAGACTGAAGAGTGTGCACTATATTGTGATGGTAAAACTGGAAGGATTGGTTTTAGTGTTTGGGCAGTTCACTGAACAAACATATTAAACCTGAGGTGAGGGATGCACTGAGCTATTTTATATGATGTAAATGCCTAGAGTTCTAAATCAGAACTGAAGCAGCTAAAGAAATACCTAAATGAGAGAAATAAATAACTTTAAAGTTAAAATAGTAAATGTTCAGTTGCTTCCCTTTCAGATAGAAACATTGCAATGAAAGCRGATACTCTTCACTTCTGGTTTTCAGCTCCCTTTTTAGCCATTATAATTCCCTCTGTGTGTGCTTTAGTAATGATGTGTGTCAGGATTTGTTTATTTTGGATCACTGTGTGTCTGCATTTCATTTGTATCTAGCTGTTTTTTTCTTTTTTCTTTTCATAAACTTGAGCTTGATTTGGCTTTGTACTATTTGCTGACTAGGGAGAGAGCGAGAGCATTATTTAAACTTCAAGTAACAAAAGATAAAAGATAATGCTGATTCTTTCAGCCTCAAAGTCTTTCTAAAAAGTTACTGGGGTGTTTTTTGTAGCTAGCACTTCAGTGCTGTGACATTCAAAGTAGAACATAAGAAAACTGCCAAAAGATTTTGAAGAAGCCATTAATACATCTAGTCAGCATGCTTCCGTTTAGAAAATCTACATTATTCAGAGTGAAAAACTAATTAATTAGAACACCCCTAGGATACTGAATCTACTTAAATATGTTAGTGAAAAAGTTAATTAATGACTACAGAATGAGATCTGCATTAGGACATATGTATAAATACTAGAAGATGGTTCCCTGAGCCACAGCATTGATTTTCTTTTGCCTTTCCTTTTTAAGAATATTTCCTTGACAGTCTTTTACTGTTTACGTCTCATTATTTCTGTTAGTCTTTATTGTATATCTTCTGCCTTTGTCTTCCATTAGTGAAGTATATAGCCAGTCCTGAGAAGCAAAGAAATAAAATGCCATGCGAATAAACTCTGTTTCACATGTTTTCTGCTTATTATGCAGGTTTCTTGGCCATTCAAATGGATCCCTTTCTAAAGGAATAAAGAAAAAAAAAAAAAAGGATATTGGGGGTCAGGGTGGAAGGGGAATCTTACAGACCCTTTCTGTACATACTCCCCAAATTCTTGGGTATGATTTAAAAGCTATTCCATCGACAACAAAGCAACAGTGATTTTAAAATTACTTCAAGCTAGAGTTACTGTCAGCCCTAAAAGCTCCCGGCTGCTTTTAATTACATTTTACCTTTCCTCTTTACTTAGCAATGGGATACCCGTACCCTGAATGTATTACTGCGCAGTGACTGAGGACAGTTAATCATTTCCTTTTACAAAAGAACTAATATGCAGGAAAGCACTGATTGATATCATGAAGCTAAATAAGAATATTTAAGACCACTTTTATTAATGGTTTACAACATTAAACTCACTGTGACACAATAGCAGCCTTTTATAAAGGAGAGTTAAGCTTTTTTTATGCTGATGTTGAACCTGAATAGAGACTTTAATGGCAATCAGCAGGAGTCTACCTTCTTGGGTAGGCACAGTAAGGCTYAAGTCAATGGACTCACATTGCCTTGGACTGTATTCAGATCTGGCCAGCAGTGCATTGAAATACAATGTACCCYGCTTCAGAGAAGTCAAGTTTTATCACAGTGGATTAAAGAAAGTTTAGCTGAGTCCTATGATGGTTTTTCCAGGCTGTCACATAGATCACTAGGAAATTCGAGCTCTGCTTGGTTTTCTAGTCAGAAAAAGAGATTTTGCATCAACATAAAATATCTGTACTTGATATATCACTTTTATACGCTGTATGACTACAGGGCCTTTTGTAAGTATAGGGCTTATCTGACTAATTTTCTGGAAATTTTATTAATTACAATGTCGCTTTTTGACGCAATTACAGTTATCACAAACGATGATACTTAACAAGAAAGATGTACATGGCCTGCCTGAAATGACTTAGTTTTCATAATATTAAACAGAAATTGGTCTGTGTTGTCATTCTTAGATAAAAAAAAAAAAAAAAAAAAAAAAAATTTATTGTTTTGAAAGACACTATGATAAAAAGAGGTTAAAATATAAAGATAAAAAAAAAAAAAAAAAAAGCATAGATTACAGCCTGTGACCTCTTTTCTGCCTTTTGATGTACAAAGAAGTCTTGAAACGTGCATTAAACATTTTTTGGCTTGGTTTTAAGCACAGTTTTAAGCTCAGATCTTCTCTGCCTTGTTTGTGCTAAGAGGCTCCCTGTGGAAATGACAGGATGGTGACACCAGACACAACAGCCRTGACACCTAATCACTTGACAGCAGGAGTGATTCAAATAAATTCAACCCTTAATGTCCCTTTCTGTCTGATGGATTTTTTTTTTTTATAATACCTATTTACTCAAACTTTGTGCATAAGTAGGAGAGAGGAAGATTGAAAAGCCTGCTCTTTGTATTAAGCTTGGGCAGATCCCATGACACATGTCAGGATCTTGAATAAGTTGTGAGCAAAACCAAACTGAGCATGTTTGCCATTCTTGATACTGCTACAAGAAAAAACTAAGCATTCACTTAATATTCTTTATACTGCTTTTTTTTTACATCACATACATGGAAAATAGTTCTCAAACTATGTTTCTCCAAGAGAGCATGGTAGAAAACTTAGTATGCTGAGGAAGGTTRATGTGGTGAGGAAGAGCATTATCCATCTGGAATTGCTGGAAGAGGATTCCCRCTGGCTAGCTGGAATTGAATTTTGCCCAGTGAAGCAGCGTCATTTTTTTCTGTATCTTCATTCAGCTCCTAGAGGACAGGAGTTTGGTCTGTGTAGTGCTCTGTCCAGTGTCGTTAAATGTGCATGTACATTTTTACAGACCAAACAGATTGGACACTGGGTGTGGAAGTCTGGAGAAAGGTGGTTGAAGGCTGTTTCTGCTTGGACCAGGCAGGGCACTGTAGCACTTCAAAGGGAAGTGAAAATAGAAAGAAACACTAATGTCAAAGAACTTTACCTGCCTTAATTCCTTGTACCCTTCTTCATGTGAAATGTCATTACTTCCTTCCTGAGGGTGATCTTTCCCTCTCCCAATGTGCTTTTGTCACTGTACAACTTAACGATGGCAAAAAGAAACATTGCCAGGTTTAGTGTCAGTGTTTCAGCRTGATAAAAAGCTGTTTTGCTTCATTTCCTGAACTCCTTGCTGGCCAGCTTTCACTCTCTGATACGGTTGATCTAATTGTAGTGCTTATCTTTAAACAGCTCCACCAATGACCTCTTGTTAGGACTATTTAATACTAATGTGTCTTCTCATGTCATGTAAACTTTTTTTAGAACTAGAATTGTAATGAGCAGAAGAGCGGCGCAGCTGTATGATAAAGCTTTCATTAGAGGATTCCTTAATAGAAGCTACTTCCACTCCTTGATTGCATAATCAACAGTTAATGAAATTGTCTTGGTAACAAGAGCTACAGAGTATTACAGCCTCTCTTGAGACTAAGTGGAAAGACAATTGTACCATCCTGAGAAGACTATTGATTGTTCACAGTTTGAATTTGATTGCCCTTAAGGGGAACTAAACAAGAGATCATCTTCAGCTCTGCTAAATGGATTTTGCTTCTTCTGAAAGTTATTGTTTCACTTCCATACGAGGCATTCAGGGGGCAATAAACACAGAGAAGAATAATCTCATAACAGATTTCTTGAGTCGGCAAGTTGGAAAGCACCCATCACTGTAAAACAAGGGATGGCTGCTTCTTCCAGGTCCTCCAAGGTGACTCTGTGTTTGTGGTCATACCTATTGGGACTCCCCAGCCTACAGTTTGTTGATTTTCTCGTTCCAGGAGGGAATCCCAAAGGAAAGTTCGCTCTGGGACTAGTTCAGAATGAATGGAAGGTTTATGTGAAAAGGCCTCTCGATCGCGAGGAACAAGACGTTTATTATCTGAACATCACTGCCACTGATGGCCTCTTCGTAACCCAGGCTGCTGTAGAAGTGACAGTCACTGATGTTAATGATAACAATCCAGTTTGTGAACAGGTGAGTTAGCAGCGCTCATGGAAATCTGCCATTTTGTCGGGATGATGGTTTCGCTGTGTGCACCACTGCTCTTCACAGCCGCAGGATCTGGAGTGATCTGGGGAGGAGCAGGGTGAATCCGGCCAGTGAAGCAAAGGAGAAATGATAGTGGATTAGCAAAGGTAGGGGAAGAATCTCCTCCATCTTCTGCCCTGTGGCTTTGATAGCGTGTTTTTCTCAAGAAAAGAAGTATAASGTGGCACTGGCATCAGAAAGTCACCCTTTTCCTCCAGAAAATTGTGCTTACCCTTCACAACCAGTTGTAAATCTACTGGCCACTACAAGCAGATCTGAAGGKTTGGGGAAGTGTCTTCCACCTAACATAATTCCAGCTTTAACAAAGCTGGCAGCGGGCTAGTAGCCAAAGACCCAATGGAAAAGGAAAAAAAAAAAAAAGAAAAGTAAGTAACTCATTCCCATTTTGCCACACGTACCCATATTTTGGCCTGACTGCACCATTAGCTTTCTCTTGTTCTGTGAACGAGCAAAGTGGGGAACTGATAATACTGTGATAGAAAGATCCRGAAAGAGAGAAAAATATCCCTAAACCAGATTCTTTTAAAGTTACTGCTGAAAGGTCGACATTATCACTGATGGACCACTGGTGCTGAAAGCACCACTCTGGGGAATCCCATCCTGGATCTCCTCCAAGCACTGTTGAATAATGTGGTAAAATCAGTTATCTTCATTAGCAAGCCCCTCAAGGTTTTAATTTCACGGATGTGATGAAACAGCTGAAAATGAGGTAGAAAATGTGACTGCATTTTACACTTAAAACTAGCCCAATTAATAGTCATAAACTGTCATTGTTTTTGTGACACCTCAAAGCTTAACAGTGATTTGAATTTCTAGGAATGGGTTATATAAAGGAAAATTGTTTCTTTTATAGAAAAATGTATTACAGAGGGCTTAAAAAAAGCTTGCACAAAGACTATAAAATGCTGTTACTGCATAGCCTACATTTCTGTTTTCATCTCCAGGTTGCTTACACAGCAGTATTTCCTGAAGACATTCCATCAAACAAAGTCATCCTTAAAATCAGCGCCAAAGATGCTGACATTGGTTCCAATGGCGAAATACGCTACTCTCTCTATGGTGCTGGGAACAATAAATTTTTCTTAGATCCAGAAAATGGTAAGATGAAGACAAAATGTTTCCAAATGATCCTTTAGTACTTGGACATCAGGGGTCTAACTTTCTTACTTGGACATCAGGGGTTTAACTTTCAATAACTACATTACACTTGGAAAGCTGGCACTTATTCTAGTCCCTGCTGGTGCAGCACTGAAGCAGTGGTTGTAGGAGGGAGAAGGAGCAACATATTTGCTACCAAACTGAATGTTGTGTTCAGGAAAGTGGACTTGACCCTTTCGTTCCCCARCCAGACCTCAATCAAGGGTTTGGGGCACTCATCCTGAAGTCTTTTGACAGAAAAGCAGGGAAGCTGCCAGCACAGAGCTCCTTCAGCTCTGGACTTCGTTTCCTCCACCTCGAGCTGGATGTATAGACAGCTAGAGCCTATGTTGAGGGCATTCCTTTTATACCTGAATTTGGGAGGAGAAAGAATATCAATAATGCATTTGTGGGCATGTGAAGTGTTGTCTGTTTGACAGTTAGTTTGGAAAATGATGTTCATCTCTGARCATCATGTAGATTCTGTGTTGTTCAAACACATACAATCAAAACTAAGTTTTCCATGAATAAAAATCCCACCTCTCTGTTTTTCGTAGCGATTTGATTTCTGAAATGATAGACTAAGTCCCTCCATGTGCAAGGCCTCCTCTCCCCGACTAGCAGGAGGCAGCGCGCCTGCTATTGCCATCATGACTGACAGAAGAGGAGGCGTTGGGAGATGTAAACAGTGTGTGGAGGGGGAACTGCTGCCCTCGTCAAGAAATGTTATATTGAACTGTGAATCTTCACAAAATTAAGCTTGTCTTCCGATTGGTGATGGATGTTTACTGACATGATAATGCTTGGCAGTTGTTTGTGCTGTGGAAAATAGATGATGGATAAAGTTCTGGCAGTCTGAACAAGCTCTTCTTTGCTTGCTGCTGCAGGTTGTGCCGATACCAGCCTTTGTATGAGAATAAGTCTGATATAAATTAGATATTAGAGCAATTTTTTGAACAGTAGCACGAGCAGAAGTGTTTCAACAGATTCAAGGTGTTGTCTGTAGCAAGACAGACTTCTGTCTAGACATGTATAATCTTAAAAGTAACAAGAAGATAGACTTTAAGAATATTCTCTACTGTGCTCTCTGTCATGGGTGCAATTGTAGGATGTGAAAGGTCCTCCAGAGTGGCTTGTCRTCCCTTCATTTGTCTTCATCCTATCGTTTTATAGGATGGAGAGAAGTGAAAAGTGACAACCTTTTATTTCATTCATTGGAATAAGCAGGGCTGTTTTCTGTAGTTGTTTTGGGGGATTGTTTTGTTGTTGTTGTTTTTTGTTTTTTATTTGTTTGCTTTTGTTGTTTGCTTTTCTGTAACTGGGAAATGCATGTTCCTGGATACTCACACTGTCTAGAATTAGTATCGCTGTTGCAGTAATAATGATGGCTACTAATTGATTTTAGGTGAATTGAAATCCTTGGCCCCTCTCGATCGGGAGAAAATCCCTGTGTACAACCTGGTTGCCCGGGCTACAGATGGTGGTGGCAGGTTTTGCCAGTCAGAAATCCATCTTATTTTAGAAGATGTTAATGATAATCCACCAGCATTTTCATCTGATCACTACACTGCATGTGTCTATGAGAATACAGCCACCAAAGCTTTATTGACAAGAGTCCAAGCCACTGATCCTGATGTAGGTAAGTGAATAATGCTGCTAACGATAACCAATGCTCAGGAAAACCATGTAGATTGATGAAATTACGACAAAGATGATAAATATATATATTTTTAATATTGTCTTTCCCATTTTCAATACATTTCCTGGTACATCAAACTGGTCATGGCCAAGCTTGGAGTCGTAGTGCTATCAACACTGCAGAACTAGTCTTTTATTCTGGTGATCAGTGATAATAGTTGTGAGTTTTGGAGGTAAATTCTAACTTTTCTTCCTGCAGTGATCTTACCTCTTTTTCTGAGCCATGGTTCTGAATACCCAGGCCTCTGTTTATATGAGTAATATAGTTACATGCCATAGGGACATATACCTGATTAATTGCAGCTTAGCTAGAATTTTATACTGCTGTAACTCCCATTTGTTCCATCTGGTTACCTCAGCACAAAACTATTGTTGTACACTGTGAATATACATTATATATACTCTGTTTTTTTTTTTTCCACTGCACATTTCACTGTACTTTTAAAGTGTAACAGTTTATTACATGACGATCTTAACCTTGAAATCTAGGCCCAATTCTAAATATTTTAAGGGGTTTATATATAAAACAATGCAAAGTAAAACCTTAACAAATCTCCCGTTTTGTTTTAACCCATTTGCATCAGATGGCATAAATAAGCCTTAATAGTTTGTTTTTCTTTCTGTGGTTCTGGTGATGTTTTATAAAAACTGCCTTGCGTAGCATCATGATAAAAAGCAGGCCTTTTATTGAATGAAAAAAATATGTTCAATTTTAAAATGTTGTCTAAAGCACAGTGGATACTAGTGGTCTCATTAAGGTTGTTAATATCAATATGCAGCGTATCCTCAATATATAGGAACAACGAAGTCATTAGTGTATTTACAGAGAGCTACATCATATGCTGTGGTTGAAAAATCACAATTAAAATTTATGATACCATCCTGCAGTGAAACAGCAATTACTGGTGCTAAACTATTGAGCAACTTGAACATCCAAAGTTGTTGCTTTCCACTGTTTTAATTATAATTTTTCTCACAGGTGAGGTGACATTTTAAGGAGGGGAGGATAYACAAAAAATTAGAGTCAGAAGTTGTCAATAAAAGTTCTTGCTAGCATCAATGTTACATAATAAAATAGTTATAAAAAATGTGAACAAATTGCTACATCATCCTTCTGAAACCAGATAACTTCAAGGGAGGGATGCATGTAATGAAAAAGGAAGGGATATGAACATTTTTAATGATTAGACCTGAAAATCAAATAAGACACTGTATCATTACAAAAGTGCCTCTGGCCTATAAAATTGAATGTTATATTAATTATTGTTCTGTTAGTCCATACACTGATTCCCTGCATAGTGAAGGATTTTTGGATTCTGTAATGCTCCCAACACAGAGATAAAATATAGTTATATTACTCTAGGATTTGGTGGAGCTTTCTCCTGAAAACATCTGTGGAGCCTCTAATGATCATAAAATCAATTTTTGACATTCAGCAAACATCTTATTATCAGCTTTAACATTTGCCAGTTCTGATTTGGGCTTTGAAGAGCCATGTGCTGTAAGGGTAGGAATAGGAATGTAGAGGCCAGTGAGATAAAATTGGAGAGAGGTCAGTTTGTGATCTGCAACTGCCTGCAACTAAACACCATCTAGCAAAAGAAATGAAAAACTGAAAATATTTTGGTCAGATACTGCTGGGTAATAAAGGCACCTTGCAGAAAACAGGGAAATGTTGTTCGCACTGTTGGATTTACTTTATGCTGGCTGGTAAAAGTTCTGAACTCATAATATCTTGGGAATTTTGGAGACTGGAATATAAGTTGTTTAATATATATATATAATTTGGATATATGTTTAAAAACTACCCATAACAGCTGGACTTTCTGAAGGAGAGCTATGACTTTTATTTATTTATTTATTTATTTTGGTAGTATTCAGCAGAAAAAAAAAGTTTTAAGCACTTAACTCTAGGAGCATGCAAGTTTCTTTTACATAACTTTTCCCTGTAGCGAGGAGTCATAAATTAAAATCACATGGAAGAGAGTATACACATTTCTCTTTGATAAAAGATATTAATAACATCAGCATAAAGTAATTCTTTCTCCCCTCCTTCTTGCAGTGGAATTTTTTAATATTTCCACAAGATATTATTTCCCATATCTCACCACCATCAGGTTTAAAAATGTGCAAACTGAAAGACATCTTAAAGGCTAGGTTTTTTTTGTTTGTTTGTTTTTTTACAGTATGCTAGAGAAGCTTATAGGAAACAGTAGATTTTCCACCTCCCACTATCTTTACACCCAAGTGCCAAGAGAAGAGCTGGAGTGAATGATGGGGTCTGGTTATTGGTGTGACCCCATCAGACGCCCACAGCGTCAACCTGCTTAAATGTTATTCAGGTTGCTCTAGTGCAGCAACACTGAATAAAGCATTGATGGGACRTTACAGCAAGTATGAAGTTAAAAACGAAACATAAATATCAAAATAAATGTGGAGCCTCAATTACTGCTGACCCATAGGTACCTACCTGCTTCCAGTGCCTTTCACCTTTGATGCCTATTCCTGTTGTTGCAGCCTTGCTAGCAGAAATTGAAAATGAATGACAAAATGGACCAAGCTCAGCAGTGCTTTAAATGGCAGGTAGAAAGACCTGCTTCAGCAGCAGTTGCTTTATCTTAGGAACGACCTCCGTGCTCAGGCCAGTTTTCATGCTGATTGATGATCGTGATGATTTGTGTTGATACAGAAGGCACTCACTGTGCTCCGTAGTAGCAGTGGATCATCCAGCCTCGCTAGGAGTCTTCATGACCATTTGGACACTGGCAGTTCTGCACCATCCACGTTTGTGGCCTGTTCAGTGATTTTGCTGACATACTGAATTTTCTCTGAGTTTGCATTTCACCCAGAAGGAGAACGACCTTGTGAACCTGCCCTGCTTTCCTGATGCCAGTGCTTTCCAGCCTTGCTGTTATCCTGCTGCCCAAGTCATGGCTGGCACAAAGTCAACAAGACCTCCCCCATCCCCTGCCCATCCAACCAGTATATACAGACTYGGCTGTTTTGGAGCCTGCGTCTCCTAAGGCATGCAGCCAGCATGCAGGAAAACACAGGAGCATAGGTTGAGGAAAAAATGACAGCAGTGACTTTTACTTGGTTGCAAAGAGATCCCTGAGGTTCACAGATGTCACTGCTTGGTTCCCAGCCATCATTTTCCATCCCCATGCCTTGTCTCCAGCTCCTAGACGTGATGATCTATAGCATGGGAGCAGCAAATACATGCAAGGTGCAAGCAGCTAATCCATTCCCAGCTTGCACACTGGCTAGCCAGAGCTTGGAGCATCTCAAAGAAATACAGTTACAGAATTCAGAGCAGTCTGCTTTTTCCTAGAATAGCAGCAAAGGCACTCACCAACTCACTTGACCCAATCAGGCCTTACTGAAAAACTGTCTGCCCTGATCTCTGACATAAATTGTTTTATCTTTGCCTTGATTTTTGTGAATTTGTGGTCCACTTGCTGGACAGAGTCCACCTTGCTTTCGTGGCATATGTGAACAGCACATGAGACAGGCCGGGCCCTCCCTGTGTGCTGAAGATCAGGGCCACACGGTGCATGTGGTGGCGAGTCAGAGAGCAGCATGTAGGCCTGCGAAAGTCTTCCCTAGCGATGAGTCTCATGGCTTTGTGGATGCAAAGGTGTTGTGCCGTCAGGCACCCAGAGCAGTGGGAGCAGTATGGGGCACCTGGGCTGGAGGTAATTCASATGAGGAGGGTTATTTACAGATGATGTTTTACAAAAGCTTACAGAAATACAGAAATATTCTACCATTCCTAACAGCAGATCKAACAGCATTCAGTAGTGCAGCCTAGGAAAATGTTGTGGTGCWTTCTTCAAAGTGTTCTCTCAGACTYGTGTGAAGGGTGCCTGGAGTTTGCCAGCTTTCAAAGGCAGTGTAGCCTCAGAGCAAAACACAGAACACTGTGAGGTTTACTTGACATTTTTCTGCTCTTTGTACTGGAGTACTGTGTGTTAGTGTGCTGTACTCGTACAGATTTTTATGTCTCCTTGGCTTGAGTCATGCAAGGCTGATACTGAGTTAGCTCAGTGTGGCTCTTCTTTCTTTCCTCTGGCTGTGGACGTTATTCCTGGGATGTACTGAGGCAGGATAGGGTGCTTGCAGGCAGCAGAAAGGGAGGCAGTGTGCTTTGGGGAAAAGTTTGACGACTTGGGATTCGGGATGTACGTATGTATGCTGCACCCTGGCTCTTCAACACCAGACGTGCATACTGTGCTGGTCGCAAGCCTGCAAGCTTGGCCTTGTGGCATTGGGGACATTCTCCAGGTTGTGGAGGGCTCATCTGGCTGGGTGACCTTCTTAGGTTGCCCCATGCCCTGAGCGAGATGATGCGTGGCAACCAGGCGGGCACCCAGAGATGAGAGAGCATAGCCCATTCACAGCAAGGCTTGGATAGTTCAAAAGAGCAAAAAGAGGCTGGAAAAAGAAGCCCATATTAGCAACTATTTTGTCTGCAATGAGGAAGAGCAGAGAATGTGCAGAGGTGCCCCTGCTTGAGCAGGGAGGTTGGACTACATGATCTCTAGAAGTTTTTTCCAACCTCAGCCTCCCTGTGATTCTGTGATCTCTGTTTTCTCRTGAACAGTCAGAAAAACCTCAGTATTTGAAGCTGGTGCACTTAAGTGGATTTGAGGGAGAGAGATGGATGTTGCAATCCTAGTTCAGGAGCCAGGATAAGACCTGATTCTCTCCTATAGACAAATTTCTATAACCAAGTTATACATGTCAATCTATGTGTYTTAATTAGGCCATTTTCTAAGAATTATATAGAGTTAAATACTAATTGGGCTGAGATCTATGAGACTGACTCTGTAGTCCTGTGATTAGTGCATTTGCCTTCCATGTGGAGAGTCTAAATCAATCAAGTCTCTAATCAGCCTGGTTTTCTGTCAGGAAAACTAAATATTCACCCCTTCATGCAAA